CTGTGCCATTAAACCCCTACAACTCATCCAGAATGCAGCAGCCCGTCTGGTGTTCAACCTTCCCAAGTTCTCTCATGTCACCCTGCTCCTCCGCACACTCCACTGGCTTCCAGTTGAAGCTCGCGTCTGCTACAAGACCATGGTGCTTGCCTACGGAGCTGTGAGGGGAACAGCACCTCCGTACCTTCAGGCTCTGATCAGTCCCTACACCCAAACGAGGGCATTGCGTTCATCCACCTCTGGCCTGCTGGCCCCCCTACCTCTGCGGAAGCACAGTTCCCGCTCAGCCCAGTCAAAACTGTTCGCTGCTCTGACACCCCAATGGTGGAACAAGCTCCCTCACGACGCCAGGACAGCGGAGTCACTCACCACCTTCCGGAGACACTTGAAACCCCACCTCTTTAAGGAATACCTGGGATAGGATAAAGTAATCCTTCTACCCCCCCTTACCCCCCCCCCCCCCCCAAAAAAAAAATAGCCACTGGCTATAAGGTGAATTTGTAAGTCGCTCTGCTCTGCTCTGCTAAATGACGTAAATGTAATGTAAATGTAATCAGTTAATTGAAATACATTCATTATGCCCTAATCTATGGATTTCACATGACTGGGCATAGGCCCACCCACTTGGGAATGGGTTTTTCCCCACAAAAAGGCTTTATTACACTCAGAAATACTCCTCAGTTTCATCAGCTGTCTGGGTGATGGGTTTCAGATGATCCCGGAGGTGAAGAAGCCGGATGTGGAGGTACTGGGCTGGTGTGGTTACACATGGTCTGCGGTTGTGAAGCCGGTAGGACGTACTGCCAAATTCTCTAAAACAGACGTTGGAGGCGGCTTATGGTAGAGAAATTAACATTCAATTATCTGGCTACAGCTCTGGTGGACATTCCTGCAGTTAGCATGCCAATTGGGTGCTCCCTCAAAATTTTGACATCTGTGGCATTGTGTTGTGTGACAAAATTACACATTTAAGAGTGACCTTTTATTGTCCCCAGCACAAGGTGCATCTGTGTAATGATCATGCTGTTTAATCAACTTCTTGATATGCCATGGATGGTTTGTCTTGGCAAAGGAGAAATGCTCACTAACATGGATGTAAACAAATTTGTGCACACAATTTGAGAGAAATACGATTTTAGTGCGTATGGAAAATTTCTGGGATCTTTTATTTCAGAAACATGGGACCAACACTTTACATGTTGCGTTTATATTTTTGTTCAGTATAGTTTAGAATGACAAATAGGCTAATAACATGTAATAACAATAATAACATTTCACAAATCACTTGGAAAGAGTGATTGGAATGTTTATCTCCTCTCAATTGTCATTCTCTCTCCAATTGGCAATTTTCAAAGGGGATTGTACCTTAACCCTAAAACCAAGTTTTGCATTTTGCCTCCAGCACCTTCTTTAGTCGGTTTTGGGTGTGTGGTAGATTCTGCCAATTACTACAGAGCAGAATTCATGGTTCCTTCTATTAAGGCAAGTCGTCCAGGTCCTGAGGCAGCAAAGCATCCCCAAACCATCACACCACCACCACCATGCTTGACCTTTGGTATGATGTTCTTACTGTGGAATGCAGAGTTTGGTTTTCGCCAGGCATTATTGGAACCATGTCGTCCAAAAAGTTATACTTTTGAATCATCTGTCCATAGAACGTTCTTCCAAGAGTCTTGATGATCATCCAGGTGCTTTTTGGCAAACTTGAGTCAACTTTTTAGACGAGATGGGTCCCATTATGCCTGGCGAAAACCAAACACTGCATTCCACAGTAAGAACATCATACCAAAGGTCAAGCATGGTGGTGGTGGTGTGATGGTTTGGGGATGCTTTGCTGCCTCAGGACATGGACGACTTGCCTTAATAGAAGGAACCATGAATTCTGCTCTGTATCAGAGAATTCTACTGGAGAATGTCAGACCATCCGTCTGTGAGCTGGAGCTGAAGCTGAAGCGCAGCTGGGTCATGCAGCAAGACAATGATCCAAAACACACAATCAAGTCTACATGAAAATTACTAAAATGCAACAAATTGGAAGTTTTGGAATGGCCTAGTCAAAGTCCAGACCTAATCCCAATTGAGATGTTGTGGCAGAGAAGGCAGTGGCACGGTGGGCAACCCCCATTCAGAGACCAGCTCCCTATCTATAAGGTTCCCCGCTGATCCGGAATCTATCATTGTCGTGGAAATCGAAGAGAAGGAAGAACCATTCACCGTTAGGGGAACTAAAAACAATGGCTTGGTGACAGGTGATGATGGAACACTCACGGAGCGGCGATGGGAGTCATACCGCCTAGATAGGGAGCCGCCAGGAGATCTGTGGTCCGTGGTGGTGTAGGGGGTGCTGCCCACCTCCATGGGTGAGGACTTGGAAGCAGGGTGGCTTCCATAGCTCAGATGGGGTGAGTGTCGAGGCTCCGGGAGGTGTTGGGAACGCCGTCGGTCTCTCAACATGTCGTCAAGACGAATGGACATGGCGATGAGGGTATCAAGGTCCATCTCGTTGTCCCGACATGCGAGTTCCGTCGTGATGTCCTCCCGTAAGCCTCTCCTGAAGGCCGTGCGCAGAGCACGCTCATTCCAGACAGAAGACGCCGCCACCGTGCAAAAGCTCAGGGCGTACTCGAACGCGACCCCCTCTCCCTGTTGTAGCCGGAGGAGACGCTCACCCCCATCATTTCCCTCCGTGGGATGATCGAACACCGCCCTGAACCGAGCGAGGAAGGTGGAGTAGGGAAGCACCGCGGCCTCACCTCCTTCCCAGACTGCCGAGGCCCAATCCAGCGCCTTTCCCTTCAGTAGCGAAATCACCAGCACTATCCTGGCTTGGTCCGATGGAGATGCCCCATGCTGACGCGCCAGATACAGTGAAACCTGTAGCAGGAAGCCTTTACATTTCGTCGTTTTCCCATCATAGCGCTACGTCAGGGCGATGGGTCCCTCAGACGTTGGTGATAGCACGGGAGGAGGTGGACTGGGTGCACTCGCTGCTCCCTGAGGTAACCGGAGCGATGGTCAGTTTATGCAGCGTTTGGAGCACTTCCTGCATGGCGGTGTTCAGCTGTGCAATCTGCTGTTGGTGCTGGTCGAGGCGCTGGGAAACTCCAGGAGGATTACCTGCTGCATCCATCTTCGTGATTGGTGTGTGATTCTGTGACGAGTACTGTGGATACGAAGAGGCAGGACACAGATGCAGGAATCAACAATGTAAAGGTTTACTTAACACTGAGCAAGAGAACAAAGAGAGAGTAAACGACATGACACTAACAATCACCCACAACACAACACTGAACAGTCCAGGGCTATATAGGGGTGGTGATGAGATGATGAAGTGCAGGTGCGCTGGAGGTGATTAGGGTACGTTGGGTTTCCATTCCAGTGTTGCCGAGGTGGTGCACTCAGACCGGTGGCTCAGTAGACCGGCAAATCAGAGCGCCGGAGGGGAGCAACAGGAGGAGACGTGACAGTCATGCTGGGGACACAACTGCTCCAGCTGCAGCTCCTTGACCACCACACCCACCAGAGTGTGCTTATGTAACAGAGGGACATCTTGAGACTGGCAGTAGGACAACTTAAACTCCCGACAGGCCCTGACAGCCTTTGCCTTCCTCCTGGATCCTAGAAGAGTAAACATGTCACACACCACGTCTTCAGGCCCGGCGTACGGATACCCAAGAGGGCTATCGAGTAGAGTCATCTTCCTTAGCTTCTCCACCATCTTTTCCAGCATTAAGTTCTTCGTCAGTGTGGGGCGCCTGTTGAACGTCTCCCGGCAGTAGGGGCAGCAGGAAACCTCAGTGCTGCTGCTTCCACTCTCATCCCAGCATTTGCTGATGCAGTCGGTGCAGAAGTTGTGTCCACTTGGATGAGTTGTAGGGTCTGTCAGGCTGATGTCTTCCCTTTTCCATGGCTTAGAGGCAATTATGTCAGAGTGAATAAAAAATAATAAATACTGTGGTTTATTACAACGGTTCAGCAAAAAGTTTAGCAACTGTAACGTTACCTTTCAGGAAGTGCAGCAACATTCAGGACTCATAAATCATGAACCAGTTTGAGACTTACTGGAAACAAGTAGCTTCTTCTGACACGAGAATGCAGAATAATGCATGAGAATGCAGTTGCACTGTGTATGCTTTGGCTGGTTTCCTCAATCTTGGCTGGTGGTTGGTGTCATGGTAACTACTTACTGTATAAAATATGACCTCATTGTTTTTTAATGAGCACGAAGGATCTGTCTTTCCTCGTCTGTTGTAAAAGCAGGAGTCCCAGCGTGAGTGGAACATACACTGACACTGTCTCCCCCTCTCCCGCTCTGTGTTGGACCCCAGGAAGATTAGCTGATGTTATGGCGTCAGCTAACGGGGATCCTAATAAAATTCTAAATTCAATTAAGACTGGGGCAGTACACTCCGACAGGAAGATTGGATAAGTCCCTTCCCCTCTCATATGCCCTACATCCATCACCACCCCTAAGATAATGCTGGTCGTCTCCCTTAGTGGGTGTTATATTATTTATTGGCATGGGGGCATGTGCATGTTTCCTCTGCTGCCTCTTTGCTGGGAGGATTACGGTATCCCACTCTGTTCGGCTCTCTCCCTGTGGAGAGGAGGAGCTAGAGGAATGCAGAGAGCGAGAGAGGCAGAGATTACTGCAGATCCACCCGTTCTTCTCTCCCATTCCCAGCCCCCTCTCCACTGAGGTAGAAGTATCATCCTTTCCCCCCTCCACTCCTCTATCTCTTGCTGGAATACCGTATCCATTCTTCCTCTTCATTTTGATCAGATTTGATTCATTTGAATGATAGCAGTTAATTAATGAACCTGCATGAGAACATTGCATGAATACCAGAGTTTATGAGTGTATATATACGGTACATGTGACATACAGTTTGTATGTTTTTGCATGTATGTTGTGTTCCGTGGTTTTCTAAGCAGACTGACTGTCTACAGACAGACTGACTACAGATTGACACACAGAGACCCTCCCCGTCTTCTTCACCATGCTGAGGAAGGGCTCGGAGTTGCTCCTGGCCACAGGAGGTGACAGGGAGGTGCTGCTGTATCTGGACTACGCGACGGGCAATCGGGGCGAACCCCAAACCACCGACAGCTATGGGAGTCTGCAGAACGGGGGCTTCATCCCACCAAGATATGTAAGTATCCCACACTCCCTCCCTGATTTGGTCTCATCCTATTGCTTCTCTGATGATGACTTACCTAGAATGTTGAATGTTGCAGTGCATCTTAAGCATCTTGAATGGGGGTTAGTGCTGACTTCAAGCTTTCTCCTCATAGTTGTATTGATGTCAATATGATCTGAAAAATCATTTTCACTAAAAGCAGTGTTTTCATTTTGACTAGAATATTATTTTATGGCGATGAAATCTAAAATCAATATTGCCAATATAAGCTTTTGTGCTGTTGCCTGTTGCAGTAGCTACAGATCATTCTAAATCAAAGTCAAATGTTATTTGTCTAATACAACTGGTGTAGACTTTACCGTGAAATGCTTGCTTAAGAGCCCTTCCCAGCGATGCAGAGTTAAAAAATAATAATACAAATAAAATAGTAACACAAGAGGACACAATAGTTAGATTTCACTACTATGTCATTACAGCCATTTTCCAGTCCTATTTGTTTATCTGCTATGTAAATGGTCTTTATATTGATATACATTATATAACGGAAATATTTTCAGCTTTCAGCTGCAGCGGCTGCTTCAGACGATAATGACGATGATGATGATGACCCCGTCTATATGCACTGCGATAAAATGAGTAGACGACCGGCACAACCCCTAGGGGGGAACTACTTTAGAGATGGAAGAACCAAAATAGGTGCTTTTAGGCTTTCTGTATATCTATACAGTATTACATTTTACTTTAAGTTGCTTTGACTTGAATGTTTCCACCCCAGCACTAACACACCTTTTTTCAAATAATGAAATAATTATGGTTTTCACTTTGGACCTTCATCATTTGAATCAGGTGTGTTAGTGCAGGGCTGGAATAAAAGCCTGCACACCCAGTAGCTTTCCAGGAACAGAGTGGCAGATCCCTGGTAACAGACAGTATAAAGAACAAGCCACCAATCAAACTCTAACCTGTGGCTTTGTCTGACTGATCCTGAATCAGACTTTGTTCTAGTATGGGAGGTGAAACGGAGAAAGCATCGCTCCAGAGGGAGGGGCCGATCTGAGACCAGCGGTCCGGGGGAGGTCGGAGCAGGGCCAGAGGAGGGGAGCAGCAGGTCTGAGCGGAGAAAGGCTCAGCTGGCTCGATGGAGGGACAAGTTCACCCAAAACCTGCAGAATGCCGGCCTGCTGCTGGAAAAGGTAATATAATATACACTACTAACTCACCTAGCTCCACAAGACTTAGTGGTTGGATCTAGTGTTTCTACTTTCCCACTAACAATCGTTCCTTCTTAATGCTAAAGCTCTGTTGACAGTCTTACTGGTCGATCTAATAATGCTTATATGCGGCAGCACACTGTACCATATAATTCATAATTTTATGAATGTTCTGTAATGATTGATGTTTGGCACTAGGAGGAGACAGCGAGCGAGAAAAAAACCATCCATTATCTGAAACTGAGCGCCCCCTGGGATGTGTTGGTGTATTACGCAGAGGAGCTAATTCTAAGAGCACCGCTACAGGTCAGTGCTAATTACTACTTTATGACAGTGCAAAATACAGTAGTGCAAAATACGGTAAACCCGATACTATGGTGTGGAGTGTTACATACTGACCACACCGCTCGCGTTGCAAAATAAATGTACACATATATGTTATTCAATCATTGCACCCACACTGTTCGCGCGCATCAACGAGTGTCTGCGTAGCCAGGCGCTAAAATAGAACTTGGTTCTATTCGTGACACTTGATGCTCTGCAAGTCCAGCCTCTCCCATCTCCTCATTGGTTTTTAGGAGCATATACCCACGTGGGTGATTGAAAGATGATCCACACTCTAGTCCAGTGTGTGGTGTTAATGCACCTTAAAGTTGGTTGCCAACCGCCATATTTTTTTATTTTATTTTTATTTCACCTTTATTTAACCAGGTAAGCCAGTTGAGAACAAGTTCTCATTTACAACTGTAACCTGGCCAAGATAAAGCAAAGCATAAAGTCCAAAGAAGAAGAAGAAGCCAAGAGGAGGAGAGATTACTAGAAACAAACTCGGTTTACCCTTTTATCTGTAGATTAATTGTCGGAGTAGAGGACCTTGTGCATTTCAGGTAAATTAACAACCGAATGTTTATATCCCAGGACAAATTAGCTAGCAACAGCAAGCTAGCTAGCTAAATTGCCATAAATGTTTAATGCTTTTCGACCTGTCCCCAAATTAATATAGTTGGTTCAGAGTTCGTTTTGATATTTCAACCTGCGTGTCCTGATCGTGTCTGGTGTGGGTGGACATAATTAACATGCGCGCGATGGCGGACGCATGCACACGAGCGGTCTGGTCAGCATGTTACAGAATGTTGTTTTTGTGTCGCAGGCTCAACCAAACCCAGACTTCAACACGTCTGACCGGATCCTTCAGAAACTATACATTCCCAACATCATGGCGGAGTCCTTGCCCAACAGGCCACTGGACTACTACACTTGTGCCTTTCGCAAGTCAAAGATGGAGAAGTGAGTACCTACATCGATCTCGGAAACTTCCTGATATCAGTTTTGATTGCGTATCCCCAACATTTAGTTGAGCCACATTGTGTCCTAACCCTTATAAAAGACTCTGTTACTGTACATGTGTAAATAACTACAGGTTTAACCTTGCTCTGTTGGTCACTTCTCAGGTTCCTCAGCTGTGAGAACCATGACACCTACTTTACTAACACACAGAGACACCGTATAGTGAGTGCATCCATTGACTTTCAGCATCTTTACCCATTTGTTGGATAACGATGGATGTACACCAGTAATAGATGGACATACTGTATATAGGCCTACCTACAGTACCAGTCAGAAGTTTGGGCACACCTACTCATTCAAGGGTTTTTCTTTATTTGTACTATGTTCTACATTGTAGAATAATAGTGAAGACATCAAAACTATGAAATAACACATATGGAATCATGTAGTAACCAATAAAGTGTTAAACAAATCAAAATATATTTTATATTTGAGATTCTTCAAAGTAGTCACCCTTTGCCTTGATGACAGCTTTGCACACTCTTGGCATTCTCTCAAACAGCTTCATGAAGTAGTCACCTGGAATGCTTTTCCAACAGTCTTGAAGGAGGTCCCACATATGCTGAGCACTTGTTGGCTGCTTTTCCTTCACTCTGCGGTCCAACTCATCCCAAACCATCTCAATTGGGTTAAGGTTGGGTGATTGTGGAGGCCAGGTCATCTGATGCAGCACTCCATCACTCTCCCTCTTGGTCAAATAGCCCTTACACAGCCTGGAGGTGTGTTGGGTCATTGTCCCGTTGAAAACCAAATGATAGTCCCACTAAGCCCAAACCAGATGCGATGGCGTATCGCTGCAGAATGCTGTGGTAGCCATGCTGGTTAAGTGTGCCTTGAATTCTAAATAAATCACAGACAGTGTCACCAGCAAAGCACCCCCACCATCACACCTCCTCCTCCATGCTTCACGGTGGGAACCACACATGCAGAGATCATCGGTTCACCTACTCTGTGTCTCCCAAAGACACGGCGGTTGGAACCAAAAATCTCAAATCTGGACTCATCAGACCAAAGGACAGATTTCCACCGGTCTAAAGTCCATTGCTCGTGTTTCTTGGCCCAAGCAAGTCTCTTCTTCTTATTGGTGTCCTTTAGTAGTGGTTTCTTTGCAGCAATTCGACCATGAAGGCCTGATTTACGTAGTCTCCTCTGTACAGTTAATGTTGAGATGTGTCTGTTACTTGAACTCTGTGAAGCATTTATTTGGGCTGCAATCTGAGGTGCAGTTAATTGCCGATTTCTGAGGCTGGTAACTCTAATGAACTTATCCTCTGCAGCAGAGGTAACTCTGTGTTTTCCTTTCCTGTGGCAGTCCTCATGAGAGCCAGTTTCATCATAGCGCTTGATGGTTTTTGCGACTGCACTTGAAGAAACTTTCAAAGTTCTTAACATTTTCCGGATTGACTGACCTTCATGTCTTAAACCTCTACAGGATCGGTGTCCCTATACCGGAACAGTTGCTGCTCAATATGCGATATGTGACTAGAATGGCGTTGTAAACAACAGCCAACTTTCCGGGACATAGACATGTCTTATATGGGCAGAAAGCTTAAATTCTTGTTAATCTAACTGCAGTGTCCAATTTACAGTAGCGATTAACCCCGGCCATCTAGATGTGTGAAGGTTAGTGTATTTTCTGTAGGGAAGCTAATGATCCATCATGTATGACATTCCTGGAAGTGTGTAAACAAAAATTAAATATTACCATAGGATTTTTGTCTGTTCTCTATAGTTATGTACTTGAAAAGGTATAAATTGACCAATTCGCAACATTTGGGAAAACTCCTGGCAGACTTGATAAAAAATATTGTGTAGTGATGTAATCCTTCGCTGGATCAGTCTGAAACTTTGCACACACGATGATGCCATCTAAATTTCTACATCACTCTCTGGCCTTTCTCTTGCAATTCAAAGCTGATGCAACAAAAAAATAAATAGAAAACACGTTTTTTTGTTTGTATTATCTTTTACCAGATCTAATGTGTTATATTCTCCTACATTCATTTCACATTTCCACAAACTTTAAAGTGTTTCCTTTCAAATGATACCAATAATATGCATATCCTTGCTTCAGGTCCTGAGCTACAGGCAGTTAGATTTGGGTATGTCATTTTAGGCGATAATTGAAAAAAAATAGTATGACCCTTAAGTTAAAGTAATGATGGACTGTCGTTTCTCTTTGCTTATTTGAGCTGTTCTTGCCATAATATGGACTTGGTCTTTTACCAAATAGGGCTATCTTCTGTATACCAACCCTACCTTGTCACAGCACAACTGATTGGCTCAAACGCATTAAGAATAAAGAAATTCCACAAATTAACTTTTAACAAGGCACACCTGTTAATTGAAATGCATTCCAGGTGACTACTTCATGAAGCTGGTTGAGAGAATGCCAAGAGTGTGCAAAGCTGTCATCAAGGCAAAGGGTGGCTACTTTGAAGAATCTCAAATATAAAATATATTTTGATTTGTTTAACACTTGTTTGGTTACTACATGATTCCATATGTGTTATTTCATAGTTTTGATGGCTTCACTATTATTCTACAATGTAGAAATAGTAAAAAAAAAAAAAAAAACTGGAATGAGTAGGTGTGTCCAAACTTTTGACTGGTACTGTATATATGGTCAGAAATGCTTTACTTCAGACTATGTCATTCTCATATGGTCAATTGGCTGTCCATGGCAGGTGTATGAGATTCTGGCGAGGACGGTGTACGGCAAGAGGAAGAGAACGGAGGTTGGCGTGGCTCGACTGCTCAATGAGCGGGCATACACTGCAGCATTTCCCTTGCATGAGGTCAGACACATTCTAAATGTACCGCCAGTAGGGCAGACCCCATTAGTCGACTGGTCGATTGTTTGGTCAATAGGCTGTTGGTCGACTGAGATTTCTTTAGTCGAGCAGTCGCAATTTGTATATTTTTTTCATGGTGCACAAGACACCTGTCTGATTCGCGCCTGTCTCAGTGAACTAATCCATTGCGGAGGCCACGGAGATGGCACAGTCCATCACTCTAAGACATGTGATACTGAAATTGTATTAGTTATATTATGTAAAAATAATGGTATAACAAATTAGCTTTCTCCCGTGTTGGATACGGTCGATGTCCGCGGTTCTGAAACATAATCTTCAGTGCGCCGTAGAATTGGCCCCTTTCCCTATGTTGCTATGTGCCTAATACAGTGGGGAAAAAAAGTATTTAGTCAGCCACCAATTGTGCAAGTTCTCACACATAAAAAGATGAGAGAGACCTGTAATTTTCATCATAGGTACACGTCAACTATGACAGACAAAATGAGAAAAAAAAATCCAGAAAATCACATTGTAGGATTTTTAATGAATTTATTTGCAAATTATGGTGGAAAATAAGTATTTGGTCAATAACAAAACTTTCTCAATACTTTGTTGTATACCCTTTGTTGGCAATGACACAGGTCAAACGTTTTCTGTAAGTCTTCACAAGGTTTGCACACACTGTTGCTGGTATTTTGGCCCATTCCTCCATACAGATCTCCTCTAGAGCAGTGATGTTTTGGGGCTGTCGCTGGGCAACACAGACTTTCAACTCCCTCCAAAGATTTTCTACGGGGTTGAGATCTGGAGTCTGGCTAGGCCACTCCAGGACCTTGAAATGCTTCTTACGAAGCCACTCCTTCGTTGCCCGGGCGGTGTGTTTGGGATCATTGTCATGCTGAAAGACCCAGCCACGTTTCATCTTCAATGCCCTTGCTGATGGAAGGAGGTTTTCACTCAAAATCTCACGATACATGGCCCCATTCATTCTTTCCTTTACACGGATCAGTCGTCCTGGTCCCTTTGCAGAAAAACAGCCCCAAAGCATGATGTTTCCACCCCCATGCTTCACAGTAGGTATGGTGTTCTTTGGATGCAACTCAGCATTCTTTGTCCTCCAAACCCGACGAGTTGAGTTTTTACCAAAAAGTTATATTTTGGTTTCATCTGACATTCTCCCAATCGTCTTCTGGATCATCCAAATGCACTCTAGCAAACTTCAGACGGGCCTGGACATGTACTGGCTTAAGCAGGGGGACACGTCTGGCACTGCAGGATTTGAGTCCCTGGCGGCGTAGTGTGTTACTGATGGTAGGCTTTGTTACTTTGGTCCCAGCTCTCTGCAGGTCATTCACTATGTCCCCCCGTGTGGTTCTGGGATTTTTGCTCACCGTTCTTGTGATCATTTTGACCCCACGGGGTGAGATCTTGCGTGGAGCCCCAGATCGAGGGAGATTATCAGTGGTCTTGTATGTCTTCCATTTCCTAATAATTGCTCCCACAGTTGATTTCTTCAAACCAAGCTGCTTACCTATTGCATATTCAGTCTTCCCAGCCTGGTGCAGGTCTACAATGTTGTTTCTGGTGTCCTTTGACAGCTCTTTGGTCTTGGCCATAGTGGAGTTTGGAGTGTGACTGTTTGAGATTGTGGACAGGTGTCTTTTATACTGATAACAAGTTCAAACAGGTGCCATTAATACAGGTAACGATTGGAGGACAGAGGAGCCTCTTAAAGAAGAAGTTACAGGTCTGTGAGAGCCAGAAATCTTGCTTGTTTATAGGTGACCAAATACTTATTTTCCACCATAATTTGCAAATACATTCATAAAAAATCCTACAATGTGATTTTCAGGATTTTTTTTTCTCAATTTGTCTGTCATAGTTGACGTGTACCTATGATGAAAATTACAGGCCTCTCTCATCTTTTTAAGTGGGAGAACTTGCACAATTGGTGGCTGACTAAATACTTTTTTCCCCCCACTGTAGCAAAGTTAACCAGCATATTGGGATTGAGAACAATGTGGCGGAGGCAGCAGCAGCAGAGATGAGGAAACAACCCTTGCCTTAGCCTAATTGTCTAAGAAAATTGAGGAGAGAGGAAACCCCAATTTAATTAGGTCTATAATCAATAGCCTAACTGTTAAATGTGTCTGGCTTTATAAATCATCCATATATATCTACAGAAATAAGACAGATCTTGCTTCTGTTGCCTGTTTGAATGCTTGTTTAATAGCCTACTGATTCCGTGAGCACCAAGCCTCATGCAACGGCAAAATGTCGGATAAAGGAACTTTTAGTCTTTGCTATGCTGTAATAAAGGCTTTACAATACTTTATGTTAGAACAGACTGGTATTACTTATAATTTATTTAGTGTTGTTTACATTGTTCCAAACAGGCAGAATTGGTTGTTGTTGTAATCTAACAGCACTTGTTTGTCACACATAATATGCACACAGCTCTCGCTACTATACCCTCCTTTTTCTTGATCTCCTTCTTATTGTTATTATTACAATTATTATAATAATAAGTCATGTTATCATTAGTAGGCTTTGTATAGTAGGATTGTATAACCACCATCGAGCTGTAGGCCTAAGAGTGTGTCCTGTTTAGTCTTAATACCGTAACTTACTTAAGCCTATATTTCAATATATAAGCTACTGTATCAATCATTCATTCGTTCATGCCATCACGCAGCATACGAGACATTCATGCTTTGAAATGCAATCAAGCATTTTAGTATAAAAATTAAATAACAAAGGGAGCTTTGAATAATTAGCCTAACCAACAAATAATTAAACCTTAATTCACAATTCACAAACAGTTTTTAGTCTGCTGTAATAAAGGCTTTATATATATATATATTCCGTTAGAACAGACTCTCTGGTACACTTACAGTGGGGGAAAAAAGTATTTAGTCAGCCACCAATTGTGCAAGTTCTCCCACTTAAAAAGATGAGAGAGGCCTGTAATTTTCATCATAAGTACACGTCAACTATGACAGACAAATTGAGAAAACAAAATCCAGAAAATCACATTGTAGGATTTTTAATGAATTTATTTGCAAATTATGGTGGAAAATAAGTATTTGGTCACCTACAAACAAGCAAGATTTCTGGCTCTCACAGACCTGTAACTTCTTCTTTAAGAGGCTCCTCTGTCCTCCACTCGTTACCTGTATTAATGGCACCTGTTTGAACTTGTTATCAGTATAAAAGACACCTGTCCACAACCTCAAACAGTCACACTCCAAACTCCACTATGGCCAAGACCAAAGAGCTGTCAAAGGACACCAAAAACAAAATTGTAGACCTGCACCAGGCTGGGAAGACTGAATCTGCAGCTTGGTTTGAAGAAATCAACTGTGGGAGCAATTATTAGGAAATGGAAGACATACAAGACCACTGATAATCTCCCTCGATCTGGGGCTCCACGCAAGATCTCACCCCGTGGGGTCAAAATGATCACAAGAACGGTGAGCAAAAATCCCAGAACCACACGGGGGGACCTAGTGAATGACCTGCAGAGAGCTGGGACCAAAGTAACAAAGCCTACCATCAGTAACACACTACGCCGCCAGGGACTCAAATCCTGCAGTGCAAGACGTGTTAAGCCAGTACATGTCCAGGCCCGTCTGAAGTTTGCTAGAGTGCATTTGGATGATCCAGAAGAGGATTGGGAGAATGTCATATGGTCAGATGAAACCAAAATATAGCTTTTTGGTAAAAACTCAACTCGAGGACAAAGAATGCTGAGTTGCATCCAAAGAACACCATACCTACTGTGAAGCATGGGGGTAGAAACATCATGCTTTGGGGCTGTTTTTCTGCAAAGGGACCAGGACGACTGATCCGTGTAAAGTAAAGAATGAATGGGGCAATGTATCGTGAGATCGTCTTTTTAAGTGGGAGAACTTGCACAATTGGTGGCTGACTAAATACTTTTTTCCCCCACTGTATTTATTTAGTGTTGTTTACACTGTTCCAAAAGGTCAGAAAAAATAATATTGTAAAGTTAGAGCAACTGTTTGGCACATAATACTCACGCAACGCAACACAACGCTCCTATACCCTTATTTTTCTTGATCTCCAGTAGTTTCCACAACTAAGTCATATGTCTTCCACAGATCTGACTTCCCCTTTCCCTCCTGAGCAACCAGCGAACATTCGCCCATTTCAAGTTTATTTTTTGCGTCCTTCGCATCCATTTTGCTGTCACGTGCTACTGTGTTCGGAATTTGTTATAACCAATTTATTGATATGATTATGATAGGCTATAGGTCAGGCCCTATTGGTCACATGCATGCAATGCTTACATGTTTCACGTAAAGAGAGCAAGGGTTGAGGGAATAGGGAATGTTTTTCCTAAATAAATTAGGGATTTCGGTAACTGAACTTTTCAGTCAGAAACAAGTAAGATACTAAATGGCTGAAATGATGTTGCAGCTCCAGCACGGACAATGCAATAAACACTTGCTATGCTGTGGTGCCTTTTCGCTGCAGTGGGGAGGAGAGCGAGACAACTCTTTCTTGAGTCATTTGTGTGTCTTCATTATTTAACCAAACAGTGTGCTTAAACCATCAGACAAGCTCAGTGCATATGTAGTTGATTTTATTTAAACACATAGGGTGTGTCTGTCTATATACACTACCGGTCAAAAGTTTTAGAACACCTACTCATTCAAGGGTTTTTCTTTATTTTTACATTGTAGAATAATAGTGAAGACATCAAAACTATGAAATAACACATATGGAATCATCTAGTAACCCAAAAAGTGTTAAACAAATCAAAATATATTTAATATTTGAGATTTCTCAAGGTGCATGTTGTTAAGACACAAACGGTAGGCAATTAAGGTCACAGTTATGAAAACTTAGGACACTAAAGAGGCCTTTCTACTGACTCTGAAAAACACCAAAAGAAAGATGCCCAGGGTCCCTGCTCATCTGCGTGAACATGCCTTAGGCATACTGCAAGGAGGCATGAGGACTGCAGATGTGGCCAGGGCAATATATTGCAATGTCCGTACTGTGAGACGCCTAAGACAGCGCTACAGGGAGACAGCTGATCGTCCTTGCAGTGGCAGACCACGTGTAACAACACCTGCACAGGATCGGTACTTCCGAACATCACACCTGCAGGACAGGTACAGAATGGCAACAACAACTGCCCGAGTTACACCAGGAACGCACAATCCCTCCATCAGTGCTCAGACTGTCCACAATAGGCTGAGAGAGGCTGGACTGAGGGCTTGTAGGCCTGTTGTAATGCAGGTCCTCACCAGACATCACCGGCAACAACGTTGCCTATGGGCACAAACCCACCGTCGCTGGACCAGACCGGACTGGCAAAAAGTCCTCTTCACTGACGAGTCGCAGTTTTGTCTCACAAGGGGTGAAAGTCGGATTCGCGTTTATCGTCGAAGGAATGAGCGTTACACTGAGGCCTGTACTCTGGAGCGGGATCGATTTGGAGGTGGAGGGTCCATCATGGTCTGGGGCGGTGTGTCACAGCATCATCGGACTGAGCTTGTTGTCATTGCAGGCAATCTCAACGCTGTGCGTTACAGGGAAGACATCCTCCTCCCTCATGTGGTACCCTTCCTGCAGGCTCATTCTGACATGACCCTCCAGCATGACAATGCCACCAGCCATAATGCTCGTTCTGTGCGTGATTTCCTGCAAGACAGGAATGTCAGTGTTCTGCCATGGCCAGGGCTAGGGCCATTCCCCCCAGAAATGTCTGGGAACGTACAGGTGCCTTGGTGGAAGAGTGGGGTAACATCTCACAGCAAGAACTGGAAAATCTGGTGCAGTCCATGAGGAGCAGATGCACTGCAGGACTTAATGCAGCTGGTGGCCACACCAGATACTGACTGTTACTTTTGACCCCCCCCCACTTTGTTCAGGGACACATTATTCAATTTCTGTTAGTCACATGTCTGTGGAACTTGTTCAGTTTGTCTCAGTTGTTGAATCTGGTTATGTTCATACAAATATTTACACATGTTAAGTTTGCTGAAAATAAACGCAGTGAGAGGACGTTTCTTTTTTTGCTGAGTTTACATGTGTGTGTGTTTGTCAGGGCCCCTTTGAGCTGCCAGAGCATGAGGTGCATCCAGATGAGCTGAACCAGAGGCAGGTCTTGTTCCAGTATTGGGCCCGCTGGTCTAAATGGTACAAGTACCAGCCACTGGATCACATCAGAGAATACTTTGGAGAGAAAATAGCCCTTTACTTTGCCTGGCTGGGTAAGCAGGATTCCTCATATAGTAAATCTGATACAGTACCATTATTTTGTTCTGTAATTATTTTATGGTTATACTTTGTGGGGGGGGGGGGGGGGGGGGGGGGGGGGGGTTATGAAACTGAACACATATCAGAAAAATCAGAGATTTAGAGGCAAGCATCATACTTAAGAAGACTTAGATGAAAGAGATATCAATATCTTTTCACTCTTATACCATGTCCATTTTTGTTAAGATATGTAGTCAATTTACCACAACAGTACAGTTTTGTGAGTACATTTACCACAACAGTACAGTTTTGTGAGTAACCCCCATTGTACTGTATGACATAGAGAGGTGTTGAGGAGGTTTTTGTCTCTCTGGTCCTCCTGTAGGGTTCTACACAGCCTGGCTGCTCCCTGCGGCGGTGGTGGGGGCCTTTGTCTTTGTGTCAGGAGTCATGTCCATGGGGACCAACACTCCTGCGTGAGTCCTGAAACTCCTTCACTTACAATGCTTTTCTAACATATTCATTCCTTTGGCTGTAATCAAGGTTCATGGTTTGGAAACTGTACAGAATAGAGCTCAGATTATAAATCATCTTTACTATGAATAGAGGCAAAAGGATAGATCAAATGTTGTAACAGTATAATTACAGTATAATTTGTGCAACAGAGTGGCCTAGTGTAAGGCATAGTCTGGGGTTCTGCAAATGTCACGCAGGCTGCCTGTACCAGTCTTCAGACATAATGCATGACCCACAAGAGTCCTCTTCAGTGTACTCATGCAGCACTTAGTCTGTTGCATTGCTTCACTGTGCTGTGTGTGTGTGTGTGTGTGTGTGTGTGTGTGTGTGTGTGTGTGTGTGTGTGTGTGTGTGTGTGTGTGTATGTGTGTGTGTGTGTGCACATTTTACTATACTTGTGAGTACCAGAAGTCCTCACAAGAATATTAAACCAACTAAAATTCAGAGAAGTGAGGACATTTTGCCGGTCCTCAATACAAAAAAAAGAGGCTATTTTAGGGGTTAGCGTTAAGGTTAGAATTACGATTAGGAGTTAGATTTAGGGTTAGGATTAGGGGTTAAGGTTAGGGTTAAGTTTAGGGTTATGGGTTAGGGAAAATAGAATTTTGAATGGGAATCAATTGTTGGTCCCCAAAAAGTCCTCACAAGTATAGTAAGACGTGTGTGTGTGTGTGTGTGTAGTCAGTGTTTCCTGTATCTCAAATGTGTTTCCATGGCAACTGCTAACCATTGCTTCCTCGGGCACCAGTGTTTGATGGCTTGGTGGTGAATTACAGAAGATTTACATGAAGATAGAGTGAACATGGAGAAAGTGAGACTAAAGATGCTATAATAGAGAGAAGGAAGAATACCATTGAGCCTCTTACAGGCCCAAGGACATTAGTGTAATTCCTCCTGTTCATTGTGGATTAGTGCTATCAATCACTGTACTGTATACAAGCCAGAGAGCTTTAGTCTCTGGTAATGTACTGTGTAGCAGGAAATCAAGTGATAATAATCTTTGCATTACATGCAAATGCAGACTGGGGTTGTGTCTGAAATTGCACTCTAATCACTATAGTGCACGACTTAATACTTAACTAGTGCACTACAGATGTCGGATCTTAACTTGATCAGGATCAGGTTTTCATCAAGGATCTCTCGGTACTTTGCTCCGTTCATCTTTCCCTCAATCCTGACTAGTCTACCAGTCCCTGCCGCTGAAAAACATCCCCACAGCATGATGCTACCACTACCATGCTTCACCGTAGGGATGGTGCCAGGTTTCCTCCAGAGTTGACACTTGGCATTCAGGCCAAAGAGTTCAATCAGCCACTGAGGTAACCAATAATTTATTCTGCCTATTGCTTGCCTTCAACATATAATAAAACGATTGATCTAAAAAAAATGATTTTCCCTAACGAAAAATACATATACCCCCTACAAATATGTCCATTTATTATAATCCACATAAGAATTCACACGAGATGTGCTGTAGTTTGCACGTAGCCTACATAATGTTCAAATAAAATAAAATCTAATTTTATTTTTCACATACACGTGTTTAGCAGATGTTATAGCGGGTGTAGCGAAATGCTTGTGCTTCTAGCTCCTTCAGTGCAGTAATATCTAACAAGTAATATCTAACAATTTCACAACATATACCTAAAACACACAAAACTAGTAAGGAATGGGATTTAAGAATATATACATATATGGACAAGCAATGACAGAGCGGCATGGACTAAGATACAGGGAATATTATAGAATAGAATGCAGTATATACATATGAGATGAGTAGTGCAAGATATATAAACATTATTAAAGTGACTAGTGTTCCATTTCTTAAAGTGGCCAGTGATTTCAATAGGCAGCAGCAGCCTCTAATGTGCTAGTGATGGCTATTTAACAGTCTGATGGCCTTGAGATAAAAGCTGTTTTTCATTCTCTCGGTCCCAGCTTTGATGCACCTGTACTGACCTCGCCTTCTGGATGATAGCGGGGTGCACAGGCAGTGGCTCGGGTGGTTGATGTCCTTGATGATCTTTTTGGCCTTCCTGTGACATCGGGTGCTGTATGTGTCTTGGAGGACAGGTAGTTTGCCCCCGGTAATGCGATCGGCAGACCGCACCACCCTCTGGAGAGCCCTGCGGTTGCGGGCGGTGCAGTTGCCGTACCAGGCGGTGATACAGCCCGACAGGATGCTCTCAATTGTGCATCTGTAAAAGTTTGTGAGGGTTTTAGGTGCTAAGCTGAATTTCTTCAGCCTCCTGAGGTTGAAGAGGCTCTGTTGCGCCTTCTTCACCACACTGTCTGCGTGGGTGGACCATTTCAGTTTGTCGGTGATGTGTACGCCAAGGAACTTGAAGCTTTCCACCCTCTCCACTGCGGTCCCGTCGATGAGGATAGGGGGTGCACCCTCTGCTGTTTCCTGAAGTCCACGATCATCTCCTTTGTTTTGTTAATGTTGAGTGAGAAGTTATTTTCCTGGCACCACATTCCCAGAGTCCTCACCTCCTTCCTCCCTGTAGGCGGTCTCGTCATTGTTGGTAATCAAGCCTACTACTGTTGTGTCGTCTGCGAACTTGATGATTGAGTTGGATGCGTGCTTGGCCACGCAGTCATGGGTGAACAGGGAGTACAGGAGGGGCCTGAGCATGCACCCTTGTGGGGCCCCAGGGTTGAGCATCAGCGAAGTGGAGATGTTGTTTCCTACCTTCACCACCTGGGGGCGGCCCCTCAGGAAATCCAGGACCCAGTTGCACAGGGCGGGGTTCAGACCCAGGGCCTCGAGCTTAATGATGAGCTTGGAGGGTACTATGGTATTGAATGCTGAGCTATAGTCAATGAACAACATTCTTACATAGGTATTCCTCTTGTCCAGATGGGATAGGGCAGTGTGCAGTGTGATGGCGATTGCATCGTCTGTGGATCTATTGGGGCAGTAAGCAAATTGGAGTGGGTCTAGGGTGACAGGTAAGGTAGAGGTGATATGATCCTTGACTAGTCTCTCAAAGCACTTCATGATGACAGAGGTGAGTGCTACAGGGCGATAGTCATTTAGTTCAGATACCTTTGCTTTCTTGGGTACAGGAACAATGGTGGCCATCTGGGAACAGCAGACTGGGAAAGGGAGAGATTGAATATGTCCGAAAACACACCAGCCAGCTGGTCTGCGCATGCTCTGAGGACGCGGCTAGGGATGTTTTTTATATTATTTCCAGAAGCTACCCTGAACATACAGTGGGGAAAAAAAGTATTTAGTCAGCCACCAATTGTGCAAGTTCTCCCACTTAAAAAGATGAGAGAGGCCTGTAATTTTCATCATAGGTACACGTCAACTATGACAGACAAAATGAGAAAAAAAAATCCTGAAAATCACATTGTAGGATTTTTAATGAATTTATTTGCAAATTATGGTGGAAAATAAGTATTTGGTCAATAACAAAAGTTTCTCAATACTTTGTTATATACCCTTTGTTGGCAATGACACAGGTCAAACGTTTTCTGTAAGTCTTCACAAGGTTTCCACACACTGTTGCTGGTATTTTTGGCCCATTCCTCCATGCAGATCTCCTCTAGAGCAGTGATGTTTTGGGGCTGTCGCTGGGCAACACGGACTTTCAACTCCCTCCAAAGATTTTCTATGGGGTTGAGATCTGGAGACTGGCTAGGCCACTCCAGGACCTTGAAATGCTTCTTACAAAGCCACTCCTTCGTTGCCCGGGCGGCGTGTTTGGGATCATTGTCATGCTGAAAGACCTAGCCACGTTTCATCTTCAATGCCCTTGCTGATGGAAGGAGGTTTTCACTCAAAATCTCACGATACATGGCCCCATTCATTCTTTCCTTTACACGGATCAGTCGTCCTGGTCCCTTTGCAGAAAAACAGCCCCAAAGCATGATGTTTCCACCCCCATGCTTCACAGTAGGTATAGTGTTCTTTGGATGCAACTCAGCATTCTTTGTCCTCCAAACACGACGAGTTGAGTTTTTACCAAAAAGTTCTATTTTGGTTTCATCTGACCATATGACATTCTCCCAATCCTCTTCTGGATCATCCAAATGCACTCTAGCAAACTTCAGACGGGCATGGACATGTACTGGCTTACGCAGGGGGACACGTCTGTCACTGCAGCATTTGAGTCCCTGGCGGCGTAGTGTGTTACTGATGGTAGGCTTTGTTACTTTGGTCCCAGCTCTCTGCAGGTCATTCACTAGGTCCCCCCGTGTGGTTCTGGGATTTTTGCTCACCGTTCTTGTGATCATTTTGACCCCACGGGGTGAGATCTTGCGTGGAGCCCCAGATCGAGGGAGATTATCAGTGGTCTTGTATGTCTTCCATTTCCTAATAATTGCTCCCACAGTTGATTTCTTCAAACCAAGCTGCTTACCTATTGCAGATTCAGTCTTCCCAGCCTGATGCAGGTCTACAATTTTGTTTCAGGTGTCCTTTGACAGCTCTTTGGTCTTGGCCATAGTGGAGTTTGGAGTGTGACTGTTTGAGGTTGTGGACAGGTGTCTTTTATACTGATAACAAGTTCAAACAGGTGCCATTAATACAGGTAACGAGTGGAGGACAGAGGAGCCTCTTAAAGAAGAAGTTACAGGTCTGTGAGAGCCAGAAATCTTGCTTGTTTGTAGGTGACCAAATACTTATTTTCCACCATAATTTGCAAATAAATTCATTAAAAATCCTACAATGTGATTTTCTGGATTTCTTTTTCTCAATTTGTCTGTCATAGTTGACGTGTACCTATGATGAAAATTACAGGCCTCTCTCATCTTTTTAAGTGGGAGAACTTGCACAATTGGTGGCTGACTAAATACTTTTTTTCCCCACTGTATCCCAGTATGCGTGATCAAAACAATCTTGAAGCGTGGATTCCGATTGGTCAGACCAGCGTTGAATAGTCCTTAGCACGGGTACTTCCTGTATGAGTTTCTGCCTATAGGAAGGGAGAAGCAAAATGGAGTCGTGGTCAGATTTGCCGAAAGGAGGGCGGGGGAGGGCCTTATAACCATCCCGGAAGTTCGAATAGCAATGGTTTAGGATTATGGCAGCGCGAGTACAACAGTCGATAGGGCGGCAGGTAGCTTAGGGATTAAGAGCGTAGTGCCAGTAACCGAAAGGTCGCTGGTTCTAATCCCCCAGCCGACTAGGTGAAAAATCTGTCGATGTGCCCTTGAGCAAGGTGCTTAACCCTAATTGCTTCTGTAAGTCGCTCTGGATAAGAGCGTCTGCAAAAATGACTAAAAATGTTTTTTTAAATGTTGATAGAACTTCGGCAGCCTAGTCCTCAAATTTGCTTTTTTAAAATCCCTGGTTACAATAAATACAGCCTCAGGATATGTGGTTTCCAGTTTGCATAAGGTCCAGTGAAGTTCTTTGAGGGCCGTCGAGGTATCGGCTTGAGGGGGGATATACACGGCCGTGACTATATCCGAAGAAAATTATCTTGGGAGATAATACGGTCGGCATTTGATTGTGAGAAATTCTAGGTCGGGTGAACAGAAGGACTCGAGTTCCTGTATGTTAATACAATTACACCATGAGTCGTTAATCATGAAACACACACCTCCGCCCTTCTGCTTCCCGGAGAGATATTTATTCCTGTCTGCGCGATGAACTGAGAACCCCTCTGGCTGGACCGATGTTTCCGTGAAGCAGAGTATGTTACATGCCTTGATGTCTCTCTGGAAATAAATCCTTGCTCGTAGTTCATCGACCTTGTTAACCAAAGATTGAACATTAGAGAGTAATATACTCGGAAGCGGTGGGTGGTGTGCTCGCCTCCTAAATCGAACCAGCAGGCCGCTCCGAGTGCCTCTCCGCCGCCGGCGATGTTTTGGGTCAGCCGCTGGAATCAGTTCAGTTGCCCTGGGGAGAGCAAACAAAGGATCTGCTTCAGGAAAGTCGTATTCCTGGTCGTAATGCTGGTGAGTTACCGCCGCTCTGATATCCAATAGTTTTTCCCGGCTGTATGTAATGATGCAAAACACTTTCTGAGTTAATAATGTAAAAAAAAATTACATAAAAAAACAAAATACTGCAAAGTTTCCTAAGAGCTAGTCGCGAGGCCGCCATCTTCGTATGCGCCAGGTTAACAATGTAGGTACGGTACTGCATTGGATACAAACACTGCTTCCAGCTGCCCCCTGGCATCGATTCTAAATATTTCTTCAGGTATTAAAATCCTCCTGCTTCAGGATTATTTTCCTCCTGCGACGAAAGGGGTCAAATTAAGATCCAACATCTGTATAAATGAAATAGGGTGCCATTTCGGACACAGACTGGACTAAAAGTAGTGAAGTCTGTGTCTGTGATTGTGTGTCTGGCTGTCCACAGCAAGGAGATCTGTAATAGTGGGGCCAGCTACCTGATGTGTCCTCTCTGTAAGACCTGCAAGCCCTGGAACATGTCTGATATCTGCCCCATGGCTAAGGTATTGTATGCTGGACATTTACACTAACAAGGGGATGACTGTTTGATGTGCTTATTGAAATATTTTCAGGATACATAAATCCACCACTATGCCAAATGTGTTGCTTTTATCACAATAATGAACAATCATTATGGATAGCTTAGCCGTCCCACTATAATGAATCCATAGATGACAGGCCCATGTTGTGTGTTGGCAGGTGGGCTACCTGTTTGACCACCCCGGGACAGTCTTCTTCAGTGTGTTCATGTCCTTTTGGTCTGTCACCTTCCTGGAGTACTGGAAACGCAAGATGGCCACCCTGGCTCACCACTGGGACTGCATGGACTTCCAGGAGGAAGAGGTCTGGATAATAGCCAATTCATTATAAAGATTTTCATTCATTTCAATTTATATACTTTCATAATTCTGTGATATGTGTTACTGTACATACTATAAAAACAGAGAATCAACAAAACTGTTGAGCCTCATTTCACATGATTGGTCACATATTTGTAAAGTAACCTAAAATGACGCAGATGCTAAGCTACAGGACTGTTTTGCTAGCACAGACTGGAACATGTTCCGGGATTCTTCAGACAGCATTGAGGAGTACACCACATCAGTCACTGGCTTCATCAATAAGTGCATCGATGATGTCGTCCCCACAGTGACCGTACGTACATACCCCAACCAGAAGCCATGGATTACAGGAAACATCCGCACTGAGCTAAAGGGTAGAGCTGCCGCTTTCAAGGAACGGGACTCTAACCCGGACGCTTATAAGAAATCCCGCTATGACCTCCGACGAACCATCAAACAGGCAAAGAGTCAATACAGGTCTAAGATTGAATCATACTACACTGGCTCTGACGCTCGTCGGATGTGGCAGGGCTTGAAAACTATTACAGACTACAAAGGGAAGCACAGCCGCGAGCTGCCCAGTGACACAAGCCTACCAGACGAGCTAAACCACTTCTATGCTCGCTTCGAGGCAAGCAACACTGAAGCATGCATGAGAGCACCAGCTGTTCCGGATGACTATGTGATCACGCTCTCCGTAGCCGATGTGAGTAAGACTTTTAAGCAGGTCAACATTCACAAGGCCGCAGGGCCAGACGGATTACCAGGACGTGTACTCCGAGCATGTGCTGACCAACTGGCAAGTGTCTTCACTGACATTTTCAACATGTCCCTGACTGAGTCTGTAATACCAACATGTTTCAAGCAGACCACCATAGTCCCCGTGCCCAAGAACTCTAAGATAACCTGCCTAAATGACTACCGACCCGTAGCACTGACGTCTGTAGCCATGAAGTGCTTTGAAAGACTGGTCATGGCTCACATCAACAGCATAATCCCAGAAACCCTAGACCCACTCCAATTTGCATACCGCCCCAACAGATCCACAGATGATGCAATCTCTATCGCACTCCACACTGCCCTTTCCCACCTGGACAAGAGGAACACCTACGTGAGAATGCTATTCATTGACTACAGCTCAGCATTCAACACCATAGTGCCCTCTAAGCTCATCACTAAGCTAAGGATCCTGGGACTAAACACCTCCCTCTGCAACTGGATCCTGGACTTCCTGACGGGCCGCCCCCAGGTGGTAAGGGTAGGTAACAACACATCTGCCACACTGATCCTCAACACGGGGGCCCCTCAGGGGTGCATGCTCAGTCCCCTCCTGTACTCTCTGTTCACCCATGACTGCATGGCCAGGCACGACTCCAACACCATCATTAAGTTTGCCGACGACACAACAGTGGTAGGCCTGATCACCGACAACGATGAGACAGCCTATAGGGAGGAGGTCAGAGATCTGGCCGTGTGGTGCCAGGACAACAACCTCTCCCTCAACGTGACCAAGACAAAGGAGATGATTGTGGACTACAGGAAAAAAAAGAGGACTGAGCACGCCCCCATTCTCATCGACGGGGCTGTAGTGGAACAGGTTGAGAGCTTCAAGTTCCTTGGTGTCCACATCACCAACGAACTATCATGGTCCAAACACACCAAGACAGTCGTGAAGAGGGCACGACAAAGCCTATTCCCCCTCAGGAGACTAAAAAGATTTGGCATGGGTCCTCAGATCCTCAAAAAATTCTACAGCTGCACCATCGAGAGCATCCTGACTGGTTGCATCACCGCCTGGTATGGCAACTGCTTGGCGTCTGACCGCAAGGCACTACAGAGGGTAGTGCGTACGGCCCAGTACATCACTGGGGCAAAGCTTCCTGCCATCCAGGACCTCTATACCAGGCGGTGTCAGAGGAAGGCCCTCAAAATTGTCAAAGACTCCAGCCACCCTAGTCATAGACTGTTCTCTCTGCTACCGCACGGCAAGCGGTACCGGAGTGCCAAGTCTAGGTCCAAAAGACTTCTCAACAGCTTCTACCCCCAAGCCATAAGACTCCTGAACAGCTAATCATGGCTACCCGGACTATTTGCACTGCCCCCCCACCCCATCCTTTTTACGCTGCTGCTACTCTGTTAAGTATTTATGCATAGTCACTTTAACTCTACCCACATGTACATATTACCTCAACTACCTCAACAAGCCGGTGCCCCCGCACATTGGCTCTGCAACGGTACCCCCCTGTATATATAGCCTCCCTACTGTCACTTTATTTTACTTCTGCTCTTTTTTTCTCAACACTTTTTTTTGTTGTTGTTTTATTCTTACTTTTTTTGTTTAAAATAAATGCACTGTTGGTTAAGGGCTGTAAGTAAGCATTTCACTGTAATGTCTGCACCTGTTGTATTCGGCGCATGTGACCAATAAAATTTGATTTGATTTGATTAACCCAGTTCTTGAAAAAGGGCACATCTTTATCCAGTTTTACTGTAGTATAGTTCACAGATATGGAGACTGCTTGTTAACATATGCAGTGATGGAAAAAGTACCCAATTGTCATACTTAAGTAAAAGTAAAAATACCTTAATAGAAAATGACTCAAGTAAAAGTGAAAGTCACCCAGTAAAATACTATACTGAACAAATACAGTACCAGTCAAAAGTTTGGACACACCTACTCATTCCAGGGTTTTTCATTATTTTTACTATTTTCTACATTGTAATAAATAACCCATATGGAAACATGTAGTAACCAAAAAAGTGTTAAACAAATCAAAATATATTTTATATTTGAGATTCTTCAAAGTAGCCCCCCTTTGCCTTGATGACAGCTTTGCACACTTACAAATGAAGCATTTGTGTTTGGTGAGTCTGCCAGATCAGAGATAGTAGGGATGACCAGGGATGTTGTCTTGAATTGGACAATTTTTCTGTCCTGCTAAGCATTCTAAATGTAACGAGTACTTTTGTGTGTCAGGGAAAATGTATGGAGTAAAAAGTACATTATTTCCTTTAGGAATGTAGTGGAGTAAAAGTAAAAGTTGGCAAAAATATAAATAGTAAAGTAAAGTACAGATACCCCAAAAAACTACTTAAGTACTTTAAAGTATTTTTCCTTAAGTACTTTACACCACTGAACATATGTCCCCCATTGGTGCGTGTGTGTGTATCTAGGAGCGTCCGCGGCCTGAGTTTGCGGCCATGGCTCCTTCTATAGAGCACAACCCAGTGACGGGAGTGAAAGAGCCCTACTTCCCAAAGAAGGCCCGGCTGTCCCGCATGCTCACTGGCTCCATGGTCATCATCATCATGGTAAGACTGAGTTTTACTCTCTTCGTGTCCTTTGCTCTATGGTTATTGACGTGTTTGAGTACGCCAGGGGTAGCCGGGTCCCAGATCTGTCACTGACATGACAATAATAATAATTTATTCAACTTATATAGCGCTTTTCAAAGAATCTCAAAGCGCTTCAATGACTAAAGGAGTTGGCAAAACATCATACCCTACTGATGAGGAAAAGGCCAGGAAAGGATGCCATTTTAGTTTACTGTATTTGAGACACGAGTGTGTAAATAAGGTGTATTTGGACTAATATTCATTTTATTCTCCTCACTCCTCTTTCCTCTGTCTACCCCTGTCCCCAGCTGTGTGTGGTGATGATTTTCCTGGTGACAGTGATCATGTACCGTGGGATAGTGAGTGTGATGATGTACCGCACAGGCAGCGTTGTGCTGCGCACTCAGGTACAGTACAATACACTGTGCTCTGATGAATAAAGCTGCTGACACTGGATCAGAATACCCTTCAAAACACCTGATAATGGCTGACATCCTGCATTTAGCTAATGCTAACAGATGCTGTACATTAGCTCGGATTGATACATTAGCTTGGATACATTAGCTTAGATTTTCTGTGTGTGTGTTCCCTCAGGCAGGGAACATTGCTAATATCTCCAGCAGTATGGTGAATCTGGCCCTGATTCTGCTGATGGGGCAGGTCTATACTGCGTTGGCACTGCAGCTCACTAAATGGGGTAAGAACACGGCCCTCAGCCACCTCTCCCTCTGCCTCAGTCAATACACTTCCACCTAATACATCTACCCACAGGGAAATCCACTTCCTTGGAATTAGATTAAGGGTCTGCATCAATCACAGTGGCCTAAAATAAAAAAAACATTGTCTATCAGATAAGTGTGAAGACTATTTAAGTATTAAGTAGTATATTGAAAGTGGTAGTGTCATTACAGTACAGTATATGCAAATGGGTTCCTGTAAAGTGCATTTAATGTATAATCTTACCCTCAAAGGTGTTTCTCTTACTTTCATGGATTCATATTTGTTTAAAGATTTGTTATTGTTTGATTTGATTGTTTTGGGATGTTTGGACAGAGATGCACAGAACACAGACCCAGTACGAAGATGCGTTTACCTTCAAGGTGTTTGTGTTCCAGTTTGTCAACTTCTACTCCTCTCCCTTCTATGTGGCATTCTTCAAGGGAAGGTGAGAATGGAAGGTAGTGTTTATTGTTGGATGATGCAGCTGGTATAGTCCCCTGTAGCTCAGTTGATAGAGCATGGCACTTGCAACGCCAGGGTTGTGGGTTCGTTTCCCACGGGGGGCCAGTATGAAAATGTATGCATTCACTAACTGTAAGTCACTCTGGATAAGAGTGTCTGCTAAATAATGTAAATGTAATGTATTGACTGGTTTGAAAACCCTATTCTATTTGGCAGGTTTGTGGGTTATCCTGGACACTATGGTACCTTGCTTGGCATGAGAAACGAAGATGTAAGTTTTCAGAAATTACAACCCATTTTGCATACCAAGAGCTATGTTCTCATACAGACCTTTTCATGTTACCTGATGTAAGTGTGTACCAGTATATTGATGTTGTGCATTTCTGTGTGTGTCTCTGCTTTGTGTGTGTGTGTGTGTGTGTGTGTGTGTGTGTGTGTGTGTGTGTGTGTGTGTGTGTTTCAGTGTGGTCCAGGGGGTTGTCTCATTGAACTGGCTGAGCAGCTCTTCATCATCATGGTGGGGAAACAGCTCATCAGCAATGTTCAGGAGTTTGTCATCCCGTATGTTTCATTCCTGACTCTCCTACTTCTAACTCTGGGGCGAATCCTAACTTCCACTTAAAGATGCACTATGCAGAAATCGCTTAATAATTCTATTAATTTCAGTTTATGTGACAAAACAATCAAGTATAGGGTAGAGAATCAAAAATGTTGTATTTTCAGCTGTTTGAAGCTGGTGTACAAAACTGAAAGTAAAAGATGCAAAAACGGGAAGCATAGAAATAGTACACATATAACAGATCAACCGCTTCTTAGACTTGCATTCAATGAAAATGACAGATCTATAACACACATTTCTATGTGAATTTGGTCAAGTCACCCAAAAAGTTACATATTGCAGCTTTAAGTCTAATTTTCTCTTAGTCTACCATTGACATCAATGCATGACTAAGTGAACATTTGGAAGTTATGATTATGTCATCCTTTGTCTCACTTTTTTGGCATGAAAGTACTATTTATTTGGCAGCACGATCTGCTTTGCTTTAGCCAACCCTTCTGTTGTCCATATACAGTCGTGGTCAAAAGTTTTGAGAATGACACAAATACTAATTTTCACAAAGTCTGCTGCCTCAGTTTTGATTATGGCAATTTGCATATACTCCAGAATGTCATGAAGAGTGATCAGATGAATTGCAATTAATTGCAAAGTCCCTCTTTGCCATGAAAATGAACTTAATCCCAAAAAAACATTTCCACTGCATTTCAGCCCTGCCACAAAAGGACCAGCTGCCATCATGTCAGTGATTCTCTCGTTAACACAGGTGAGAGTGTTGACGAGGACAAGGCTGGAGATCACTCTGTCATGCTGATTGAGTTAGAATAACAGACTGGAAGCTTTAAAAGGAGGGTGGTGCTTGAAATCATTGTTCTTCCTCTGTTAACCATGGTTACCTGCAAGGAAACACGTGCCGTCATCAATGCTTTGCGCAAAAAGGGCTTCACAGGCAAGGATATTGCTGCTAGTAAGATCGCACCTAAATCAACCATTTATCGGATCATCAAGAACTTCAAGGAGAGAGGTTCAATTGTTGTGAAGAAGGCGTCAGGGCGCCCAAGAAAGTCCAGCAAGCGCCAGGACCGTCTCCTAAATTTTATTCAGCTGTGGGATCGGGGCACCACCAGTGCAGAGCTTGCTCAGGAATGGCAGCAGGCAGGAGTGAGTGCATCTGCACGCACAGTGAGGTGAAGACTTTTGGAGGATGGCCTGGTGTCAAGAAGGGCAGCAAAGAAGCCACTTCTCTCCAGGAAAAACATCAGGGACAGACTGATATTCTGCAAAAGGTACAGGGATTGGACTGCTGACGACTGGGGTAAAGTCATTTTCTCTGATTAATTCCCTTAACAATTGTTTGGGGCATCTGGAAAACACCTTGTCCGGAGAAGACAAGGTGAGCGCTACCATCAGTCCTGTGTCATTCCAACAGTAAAACATCCTGAGACCATTCATGTGTGGGGTTGCTTCTCAGCCAAGAGAGTGGGCTCACTCACAATTTTGCCTAAGAACACAGCCAAGAATAAAGAATGGTACCAACACATCCTCCGAGAGCAACTTCTCCCAACCATCCAAGAACAGTTTGGTGACGACCAATGCCTTTTCCAGCATGATGGAGCACCTTGCCATAAGGCAAAAGTGATAACTAAGTGGCTCGGGGAACAAAACATCGACATTTTGGGTCCATGGCCAGGAAACTCCCCAGAACTTGTGGTCAATCTTCAAGAGGCGGGTGGACAAACAGAACCCCACCAATTCTGACAAACTCCAAGCATTGATCATGCAAGAATGGGCTGCCATCAGTCAGGATGTGGCCCAGAAGTTAATTGACAATATGCCAGGGCGGATTGCAGAGGTCTTGAAAAAGAAGGGTCAACACTGCAAATATTGACTCTTTGCATAAACGTAATGTAATTGTCAATAAAAGCATTTGACACTTATGGAATGCTTGTAATTATACTTCAGTATACCACAATAACATCTGACAAAAATATCTCATAACACTGAAGCAGCAAACTTTGTGAAGACCAATACTTGTGTAATACTCAAAACCTTTGACCACGACCAGTGCCTTCAGAAAGTATTCACACACCTTGACTTTTTCCACATTAAGTTATGTTACAGCCTGAATTTAAAATTGATTAAATGTAGATTATTTTGTCACTGGCCCACACACAATACCCCATAATGTCAAAGTGGAATTATGTTGTTAGACATTTTTACAAATTAATTCAAAATGAAAAGCTGAACTGTCTTGAGTCAATAAGTATTCAACCCCTTTGTTATGGCAAGCCTAAATAAGTTCATGAGTAAACATTTGCTTAACAAGTCACATAATAAGTTGCATGAACTCACTCTGTGTGGAATAATAGTGTTTAACATGATTTTTGAATGCCTACTGTTAGGTCTGAACAAATAGAGTAAAAATTCAAACGGACGACTAGAAAAAGCTAAAACCAAGTCTATTCAACCCACTAGGTGCTTTAGCTGCAGACACACATACAAGTCACACAAGCATATATTTATACTTTTCCGATTAGGCGGAGTCACCTCCTTATATGACTAGGATAAACAATCTGTCTGTGTTGCTAGGCAAGAACACTGAGTCTGTTCCTCTCATTGGTATTGTGTGTGTGTGGACTATAGTTAAAGGGTCATTGTAGCGGGCCTCTCTGGCCCCCCTCCCAGAGGTTTCTTCTCTCTTCAACTGTTGACCTTATCTTGAGTTAAGTTCCACATCCCTCCTGGTACTAATTTCACCAAAACTGGCCTGCCTTATCAGGAACTGACTAGATTGTTGCTCTTTACCTCCTTCCTTAGGAATGTAATATTCAACAATAACATGTTTTGGAATATTGCCTCTCGTCTCACTCAGTAACTTTCCATACACAAAGTTCCTATTCACCCATGTAATGTAATCAATAAGTTCTAATATGTATATTTCAAGTTAGAATCCAACACTACCTAATCTCTGTACCCCACACATACAATTATCTGTAAGGTCCCTCAGTTGAGCAGTGAATTTCAAACACAGATTAAACCACAAAATCCAGGGAGGTTTTCCAATGCCTTGCAAAGAAGGGCACCTATTGGTAGATGGGTAAAAAAAAAAAAAAGTTATTAATTACACTTTGGATGGTGTATCAATACACCCAGTCACTACAAAGATACAGGCGTCATTCCTAACTCCGTTGCCGGAGAGGAAGCAAACCGCTCAGGGATTTCACCATGAGGCCAATTGTGACTTTAAAACAGTTACATAGTTTAATGGCTGTGATAGGAGAAAACTGAGGATGGATCAACATTGTAGTTACTTCACAATACTAACCTAATTGACAGAGTGAAAAGAAGGAAGCCTGTACAGAATACAAATATTCCAAAACATGTATCCTGTTTGCAACAAGGCAGTAAAGTAATACTGCAAAAAATGTGGCAAAGCAATTAATGTTTTTTCCTGAATACAAAGTGTTATGTTTGGGGCAAATCCAATACAACACATTACTGAGTACCACTCTCCATATGTTTAAGCATAATGGTGGATGCAGCATGTTATGGGAATGCTTGTAATCATTAAGGACTGGGGAGTTTTTCAGGATAAAAAAGAAACGTAATGGAGCTAAGCACAGGCAAAATCCTAGAGGAAAACATGGTTCAGTCTGCTTTCCACCAGACACTGGGAGATGAATTCACCATTTAGCAAGACAATAACCTAAAATACAAGGCCAAATCTACACTGGAGTTGCTTACCAAGAAGACAGTGAATGTTCTTGAGTGGCCGAGTTACAGTTTTGAGTTAAATCTGGTTGAAAATCTATGGCAAGACCTAAAAATGGTTGTCTAGCAGTGATCAACTTTGACAGAGCTTGAATACTTTTTTAAAAGAATAATGGGCAAATGTTTCACAATCCAGGTGTGGAAAGCTCTTAGAGACTTACCCAGAAAGACTCACAGCTGTAATCCCTGCCAAAGGGGATTCTAACATGTATTGACTCAGGGGGTTGAATACTTACTGTATCTAATCAAGATACAGTATATTAGTGTTATTTTAAAAAAATTATACAAATGTTGAATCTTTCGTCTACTTTGACATTAGAGTATTTTGTGTAGATCGTTGACAAAAAAATGACAATTAAATCCATTTTAATCCCACTTTGTAACACAACAAAATGTGGAAAAACTCAAGTGGTGTGAATACTTTCTGAAGGCACTGTAGCATGACAATGAAGAGTTGTCTTAAGCACAAAGAGATGTGTCTAGTAGTGTTTGCCTCAGATTTTTTTTTCTAGCGTGTGAGAGTCTGCATGGTTTCTGTATAATGATAGGAACTCTGTGTGGGTGGTACAGTGTGGCTTTAGTATACTGTACTGCAGTATTGGCCCAGCCAGCAAAGGAGCTATGGTGGGAGTGCTGTAGGTGCTGAGAAATGCTCTCTCTATTTGCATTGTTCTACACCCCTCCTTGCTCATTCTCTCCTCTCTTCTCCTCCTGTCCTCCTCTCCTTAGTAAGGTGAAGGCGTGGCAACAGAAGAGGGCGCTGAATAAGGTGCGGGGAACGAAGGCTTGCCAGGAGCCTCGGCGGTGGGAGGAGGACTATCAGCTGGTGGAGTGTGAGGGCCTGTTTGAGGAGTACCTGGAGATCGGTAAGACAACAACAACACTCTGAGAGTTAGCAGTAGGAGTCATTTTCCGACCCGAAATAGATTCCTTATGGATTCAGTGGATTTGTACTTATTTCTGTTGCATACAAGCAATACAATCTTTGAAGGCTAAAAGTGAAATTAATTACATAAAGTGTTATAAAAGTTAACAAATCCATCAAGTTAATAGAACTCAAAACTACACAAACAAAGAACAAACCCAAATTGGTTTGATTACATAAAAATTAGTAAATCTTGCTATCAATATTTCATGACTTTTTTGTTCTTACAAGTGGATATTGTTGATGTATTGTGAATGCATTACTTTGTCTTATATTATCATAAGAATAAAGAACAATCTCTCCCCTGTCTACTCCCCCCACCCTTATCCCCCAACTACCTCAGTAGGGTTGCTAACGTATGACCTTCTCAATCCGTCCCACAGTGCTCCAGTTTGGCTTCATCACAATCTTTGTGGCAGCGTTCCCTCTGGCGCCGCTCTTCGCCCTACTCAACAACTGGGCCGAGGTGCGCCTGGACGCCCACAAGTTTGTGTGTGAGTACCGGCGGCCTGTGGCCGAGCGCGCCCAGAACATCGGCGTGTGGTTTAACATCCTGGAGGCCCTGTCGCACCTGTCCGTCATCGTCAACGTGAGTCGCACAGTGATGACCTCATCATTACCCGTGTGCTGTATTCTTTTAAATTCAAAAATCTGATCAACTTTTATTTTGTAATGTCACTTTAAGCAGTATATTAAAATGATTCCAATATTATTATGTAGAGTTTTTATCATTTGTGTTCATTTTAATTTACTGTACCATAAAATACTTTTGTATATCAATCTACCCCTTTCAGGCTTTCTTGATCGCCTTCACGTCGGATTTCTTACCACGACTGCTCTACCAGTACAAGTTTGACAACGATCTGAACGGATATGTTAATTTCACTCTGGCCTATGCTCCTCCCAGCTACACCAGCCATCCCATGTGCAGGTAATTGTGATCATAAATACACACTGGAACACAATATAGTGGATACAGTATAGCTGTTGTACAAACTTAAAGGCATAGTTCAGTGAAATAACATGTTTAGATATGTGATTCCATAGCTTGGCAGCAGTCTATGGAAAAGGAGTGACTGCAATCCACACTTTGGTTTTGTTAAAGGGATAGTGCGAGATTCTTGCAATTCAGCCCTTTATCTACATCAGAGATGGGCAACTTTGATTGGGGTGGGGGCCACAATGTCACGAATCTCTAAAGCAGAACCCAGAAGCAGACCAGGACAAGGTGAGTAGAACGAAGGTGAGTATTTATTTACAGATTCAAATGTAGAAGCAGAATAATCCAGGAGACGGAGCGGGCAGCGGAGGTGAGTTTGTGGGAGTGAATAGGCAGATCCAATGATGGCACAGAAGCCACCGACGACCAGGCAGGGGTGGGGTGAATGTTCCGGGAGAATGACTGTAGACAGAGTAAACGAAGGTAAGTACACGGCAAGTAAAAAGTACAAAACAACAAAACTAACTCTAGTAACTTTGAGGCTGATACGCTGACACAACATACTGTTCATGGCTAACGATCCGGCAGGGAATGGATGAAGAGGTGATGATCAGGACCAGGTGTGCAGACAGCTGATGAGATGCAGGTAATCGAGAGATCTCCCGCCTAGCTTCGTCGCCCGGCAACCAGACAGGGTGCGTTCAGGAACCTTCAGGAAACAGACTCCAAGACAGAAAACAGGCAACTCAGGCAGAAACAGACTCAGGAAGCGGGATTCATGACAGTACCCCCCCTCCGACGAACACCACCGGGTGGACTACCCGGAGCGCCAGGATGGAGGAGGTAGAAGTCACGAAGGAGGTCAGCATCAAGGATCTGACGCCGAGGAAACCAACTCCTCTCCTCAGGACCATACCCCTCCCAGTCCACGAGATACTGGAAACCCCGACCCCGCCGTCTGGAATCCATGATGCGGCGCACCGTGTAGACAGGACCACCTCCGATCATCCGAGGAGGAGCAGGAGGCGGAGGGGGCAGCAGAGGGCTGAGGAGAACAGGCTTGAGGCAGGAGACATGAAAGGTGGGATGGACTCTGAGCGTCCTAGGCAATTTGAGTCGAACCACAACAGGATTAATCACTCTCTCCACCACAAACGGACCAATGAACTTCGGTGACAGCTTCTTCGACTTAGTCCGCAGAGGAAGATCCCGTGTAGCCAAAAAGACCTTATCTCCGATGGCATAAGCGGGGGCTGGAATACGGTGACGATTCACCTGGAGCTGATACCGGTCAGAAACTCTAAGGAGGGCCTTTCTGGCCCGATGCCAAGTCCGGTGGCAACGACGAATGTGGCCTGGACAGAGGGAACCGAGAGATCCTTCTCCTGAGAAGGAAACAAGGGAGGTTGGTAGCCGTACAGGCACTGGAAGGGAGACATCCCAGTGGCAGATGTAGGGAGAGTATTGTGGGCATACTCGACCCATGGCAACTGAGAGACCCAAGAGGTGGGGTTGGAGGAGACAAGGCAGCGCAGCGTGGATTCCATCTTCTGGTTGGCTCTCTCCGCCTGACCATTAGATTGGGGGTGAAATCCAGATGTGAGACTGACTGTAGCTCCAATGGCCAAACAGAAGGATTTCCAGACAGCAGAGGTAAACTGAGTACCATGGTCGGAAATTACGTCACTGGGCAACCCGTGGACCCTGAAAACCTCCCTAACAAGGATCTTGGATGTCTCAGAGGCAGAGGGAAGCTTGGAGACGGGCACAAAGTGGGCGAACTTGCTGAATCTGTCCACAATCGGCAGAATGACCGTGTTCCCATCAGAAGGGGGCAACCCAGTGACAAAGTCCAGGGCCAGATGCGACCATGGTCGCCGGGGAATAGGTAGGGGGTGAAGAAGTCCAGAGCTGGGCCGATTGGTACTCTTATTCTGTGCACAAACTGGACAGGCAGCAACAAACCTCTGGGTATCTTCTCCCATGGCAGGCCACCAAAATCGTATGCGTAGTAACGCCATCGTCCGAGCCACGCCAGGGTGACAAGCCATCTTGCTGGCGTGAGACCATTGGAGGACAGCAGAATGGACGGACTCAGGCACAAACAACCGACCGGGTGGACCGTTACCGGGACCGGGCTGCGTCCGAAGGGCCGCCATAACCTCCTCCTCAATCCTCCACGTAACTGCTCCCACAACGAGGTTCTGGGGAAGAATCGTCTCAGTCTTGGCCCCACCCTCCTCCGTCTTGGAGAACATCCGGGACAAGGCGTCCGCCTTGCCGTTCTTAGAACCCGGTCGGAAAGTCAGGGAAAAATTAAAGCGTCCAAAAAACAAAGCCCACCTGGCCTGACGGGAGTTGAGACATCTAGCCGATTGCACGTAAGCAAGTTTCTTGTGGTCAGTCCAGACAATAAACGGTTGCTCCGCCCCCTCCAACCAGTGACGCCACTCCTCCAAGGCAAGTTTCACCGCGAGAAGCTCCCGGTTACCCACATCATAGTTTCTCTCCGCAGACGAGAGATGACGAGAGTAGAAGGCGCAGGGATGGAGTTTTCCGTCAGTGGAGCTTCGCTGGGACAGGATGGCGCCAACCCCCACATCAGACGCGTCCACTTCAACGACAAACTGACGGGCAGTGTCAGGTTGAGAGAGAATCGGGGCGTTGGTGAATCGACTCTTCAAATCCAGAAATGCTCGGTCTGCCTCAGGATTCCAACAGAAGGTTCTGGTGCTAGAAGTCAGGGCAGTTAATGGAGCGACCACACGGCTGTAATCACGGATAAATCTACGATAGAAATTCGCAAACCCCAGAAACCTCTGGAGCTGCAATCTCGTACCGGGCTGGGCCCAATCCAGAACCGCCCTAACCTTCTCTTGGTCCATCCTAATCTCTCCCCTGGAGATTATGTACCCGAGAAAGGATGTAGTGTGGGCGTGGAAATCACACTTCTCTGCCTTCACAAACAGGCGGTTCTCCAACAATCGCTGCAGAACCTGCTTGACATGCTGGACGTGGCTGGAAAGCTCCTTAGAGAAGATGAGAATGTCATCCAGGTACACGAACACAAATAGACCGATCATATCTCTCAGAACGTCATTTACCATGCTCTGGAACACTGCTGGAGCATTGGTCAATCCATCACTTGGTACTCGAAGTGTCCCATAGGTGTATTGAACCCAGTCAACCACTCGTCCCCCACTCTGATCCGGACCAGATGATACGCATTGCGTAGATCCAGCTTAGTGAACACAGTAGCACCCTGTAAGGAGTAGAAAGCAGAGCTCATCAAAGGCAGGGGATACTTGTTCTTGACCGTAATATCATTCAACCCCTGATAATCAATACACGGTCGAAGAGAGCCATCCTTCTTACTCACAAAAAATAAACCTGCTCCCAGGGGTGATGACGAAGGACGAATGAGACCAGCAGCTAGAGACTCCTTTATGTAGGTCTCCAAAGCTTCACGTTCAGGTCGAGAGATACTGTATAAATGTCCCTTGAGATAGGCAGCTCCAGGGAACAGGTTAATCGCACAATCATATGGTCGGTGGGGAGGAAGTGACAGAGCCTTCTGTTTACTGAACACTTCACCCAAATCGTGATATGTTTCAGGAACCAGGAACAAATCTGGGGGGGTAGGATCAATGACCTGACTGGGAACAGAATGGGAACAGGCAGTCTTAAGGCAGTTAGCATGACATTCCATGCTCCAACTAGTTACCTTGCCAGTCACCCAATCAAACGTGGGATTGTGTTCTCTCAGCCAGGGGTATCCAAGAACCAGATGAACATGGGGAGAAGCCAGAATGAAGAAGGAGATAACCTCTGAATGATTCCCTGACAACAGCATCTTAACAGGTTCAGTCCTCATAGTGATACGTGCCAGACTACTGCCGTTCAGAGTGGTAGCTTCAATGGCTTCCGGTAATTGCTCCTTTGAAAGCCCCAGCTGTTCCACCAAGTCGGCATCCATAAAGCTGCCATCGGCACCTGAATCGATAAAAGCGTTAATCGCTAAACTCGCTAATGTCCCGAGTTACCACAGTAGAGGCAGCTGTTGGTCTCACGTCTACGTTGGCGCTCCTCCTTGGTTAACCCGTGCCACCCCACTTGCATGGTTTCAGAATCTGGAGGCAGGACCCCTCCACTAATCCCGTGAGGTGAATAACGATCGACTCGTTCTGGTCCACTCCTGACCCGAATGGTAACCGAGTAGCTGATTGATTGGACGGACCCATTGCTTCTCCCTCCTTCTCTCTCAGACTCTGTTATCCACCCGACTAGATAATGCTACCAACCGGTCCAGGTCACTAGGCTCAGGATAAAAGATCAACTCATCCTTGAGTTGTTCCGACAACCCCTGATAAAAAACCGCTTGTAGTGACTCCTCATACCACCCACTCTCCACAGCCAATGTCCTGATTTCAATAACAAAGTCGGCAACACTGCGAGCTCCTTGGCGAAGAGAAAACAAACGCTTAGCTGCGTCCTTACCTCGGACTGGATGGTCAAACAGCTTCCTCATCTCTGCTGTGAACTCCTGGTATGACGCCATTTAGGTGTCCTGTCGTTCCCATACGGCTGAAGCCCACTCCAGAGCTCTACCATGCAGCAGTTCAATAGCAAATGCTATCCTAGCCTTGTCTGTGGCGTAAGAGTGGGGCTGCAGATCAAACACTAATCCACACTGCATAAGAAATGAACGGCATCTTCCCAAATCCCCTTCGTACTTATCTGGCGTCGGAACCTTGGGCTCACGGAAGGGAACAGCTCCAGAAGCGGCAGGCGAGAGGGGTGAAACAGGTGGTGGATTCTCTGCCGGCAAACTGAGCTGAGCCTGGATACTCGTCAGACTGGCAGAAAAGTTCCGAACCAACAACGCTATCTCCTGTAGCGCCGTGCTGTGTTGTCATAACATCTTCTCCTGATGGGTAATGGCATGGCGAACAGAGTCCAGGTCCGCTGGGTTCATCCTTGGCCGGATCGTTCTGTCACGATTCTCTAAAGCAGAACCCAGAAGCAGACCAGGACAAGGTGAGTAGAACGAAGGTGAGTATTTATTTACAGATTCAAATGTAGAAGCAGAATAATCCAGGAGACGGAGCGGGCAGCGGAGGTGAGTTGGTGGGAGTGAATAGGCAGATCCAATGATGGCACAGAAGCCACCGACGACCAGGCAAGGGTTGGGTGAATGTTCCAGGAGAATGACTGTAGACAGAGTAAATGAAGGTAAGTACACGGCAAGCAAAAAGTACAAAACAACAAAACTAACTCTAGTAACTTTGAGGCTGATACGCTGACACAACATACTGTTCATGGCTAACGATCCGGCAGGGAATGGATGTCAGGTCAGAGCTTATGAAGAGGTGATGATCAGGACCAGGTGTGCAGACAGCTGATGAGATGCAGGTTGCGAGTAATCGAGAGATCTCCCGCCTAGCTTCGTCGCCCGGCAACCAGACAGGGTGCGTTCAGGAACCTTCAGGAAACAGACTCCAAGACAGAAAACAGGCAACTCAGGCAAAAACAGACTCAGGAAGTGGGATTCATGACACACAAAACATCTGAACTCATCATGAGGGGCCGCAGTGGCTCGTGGGTCTGCGTACCCACATCCATCCCCACCTTGCGAGAAAAACATTTTACCGACCCCCCCTCTTGGCAGCGGAGAGAACATTTTGAAGTTTAAGAGTTCATTTCCTGCAATTATACAGTGGGGAGAACAAGTATTTGATACACTGCCGATTTTTCAGGTTTTCCTACTTACAAAGCATGTAGAGGTCTGTAATTTTTATCATAGGTACACTTCAACTGTGAGAGACGGAATCTAAAACAAAAATCCAGAAAATCACATTGTATGATTTTTAAGTAATTCATTTGCATTTTATTGCATGACATAAGTATTTGATACATCAGAAAAGCAGAACTTAATATTTGGTACAGAAACCTTTGTTTGCAATTACAGAGATCATACGTTTCCTGTAGGTCTTGACCAGGTTTGCACACACTGCAGCAGGGATTTTGGCCCACTCCTCCATACAGACCTTCTCCAGATCCTTCAGGTTTCGGGGCTGTCGCTGGGCAATACGGACTTTCAGCTCCCTCCAAAGATTTTCTATTGGGTTCAGGTCTGGAGACTGGCTAGGCCACTCCAGGACCTTGAGATGCTTCTTACGGAGCCACTCCTTAGTTGCCCTGGCTGTGTGTTTCGGGTCGTTGTCATGCTGGAAGACCCAGCCACGACCCATCTTCAATGCTCTTACTGAGGGAAGGAGGTTGTTGGCCAAGATCTCGCGATACATGGCCCCATCCATCCTCCCCTCAATATGGTGCAGTCGTCCTGTCCCCTTTGCAGAAAAGCATTCCCAAAGAATGATGTTTCCACCTCCATGCTTCACGGTTGGGATGGTGTTCTTGGGGTTGTACTCATCCTTCTTCTTCCTCCAAACACGGCGAGAGGAGTTTAGACCAAAAAGCTCTATTTTTGTCTCATCAGACCACATTACCTTCTCCCATTCCTCCTCTGGATCATCCAGATGGTCATTGGCAAACTTCAGACGGGACTGGACATGCGCTGGCTTGAGCAGGGGGACCTTGCGTGCGCTGCAGGATTTTAATCCATGACGGCGTAGTGTGTTACTAATGGTTTTCTTTGAGACTGTGGTCCCTGCTCTCTTCAGGTCATTGACCAGGTCCTGCCGTGTAGTTCTGGGATGATCCCTCACCTTCATCATGATCATTGATGCCCCACGAGGTGAGATCTTGCATGGAGCCCCAGACCGAGGGTGATTGACCGTCATCTTGAACTTCTTCCATTTTCTAATAATTGCGCCAACAGTTGTTGCCTTCTCACCAAGCTGCTTGCCTATTGTCCTGTAGCCCATCCCAGCCTTGTGCAGGTCTACAATTTTATCCCTGATGTCCTTACACAGCTCTCTGGTCTTGGCCATTGTGGAGAGGTTGGAGTCTGTTTGATTGAGTGTGTGGACAGGTGTCTTTTATACAGGTAACGAGTTCAAACAGGTGCAGTTAATACAGATAATGAGTGGAGAACAGGAGGGCTTCTTAAAGAAAAACTAACAGGTCTGTGAGAGCCGGAATTCTTACTGGTTGGTAGGTGATCAAATACTTATGTCATGCAATAAAATGCAAATGAATTACTTAAAAATCATACAATGTGATTTTCTGGATTTTTGTTTTAGATTCCATCTCTCACAGTTGAAGTGTACCTATGATAAAAATTACAGACCTCTATATGCTTTGTAAGTAGGAAAACCTGCAAAATCGGCAGTGTATCAAATACTTGTTCTCCCCACTGTATATATATATATATATATATATATATATATATATACTGAACAAAAATATAAACGGAACATGTAAAGTGTTGGTCCCATGTTTCATGAGCTGAAATAAAAGATCCCAGAAATGTTCCATACGCACAACAATATTTTAGTTCTCTCAAATTATGTGCACAGATTTGTTTACATCGCTGTTAGTGAGCATTTCTCATTTGCCAAGATAATCCATCCACCTGACAGGTGTGGCATATCAAGACGCTGATTAAACAGCATGATCGTTACACAGGTGCACCAACTGGCCTTACAACCGCAGACCACATGTAACCACGCCAGTCCAGGACCTCCACATCCAGCTTCTTCACCTGCGGGATCGTCTGAGACCAGCCACCCAGACAGCTGATGAAACTGTGGGTTTGCACAACCGAATAATTTCTGCACAAACTGTCAGAAACCGTTTCAGGGAAGCTTATCTGCGTGCTCGTCATCCTCACCACCCTTGACCTGACTGCAGTTTGGCATCGTAACCGACTTCTGTGGGCAAATGCTCACCTTTGACTGCTACTGGCACGCTGGAGAAGTGTGCTCTTCACGGATGAATCCCGGTTTCAACTATACCGGGCAGATGGCAGACAGCGTTTATGGCGTTGTGTGGGCGAGCGGTTTGCTGATGTCGACGTTGTGAACAGTGTGCCCGACGGTGGCGGTGCGGTTATAGTTTGGGCATGCATAATCTATGGACAACGAACACAATTGCATTTTATCAGTGGCAATTTGAATGCACAGAGATTCCGTGAAGAGATCTTGAGGCCCATTTTCGTGCCATTCATCTGCCGCTATCACCTCATGTTTCAGCATGATCATGCACGGCCCCATGTTGCCAGGATCTGTACACAATTCCTGGAAGCTGATAATGTCCCAGTTATTCCATGGCCTGCATACTCACCAGACATGTCACCTATTGAGCATGTTTGGGATGCTCTGGATCGACGTGTACGACAGCGTGTTCCAGTTCTCACCAATATCCAGCAACTTCGCACAGCCATTGAAGAGGAGTGGGACAACATTCCACAGGCCACAATCAACAGCCTGATCAACTCTATGCGAAGGAGATGTGTCGCGCTGAATTAGGCAAATGTGGACACACCAGATACTGACTGGTTTTCTGATCCACGCCCCTACTTTTTTTTTAAAAGGTATCTGTAATCAACAGATGCATATCTGTATTCCCAGTCATGTAAAATCCATAGGATTAGACCCTAATGAATTTATTTCAATTGACTGATTTCCTTATATGAACAGTAACTCAGTAAAAGATTTTAAATTGTTGCGTGTTGCGTTTATATTTTTGTGCAGTGAGTATTCCAAACATTAGGAACACCTTCCTAATATTGAGTTGCACCCCCCATTTTGCCCTCAGAACAGTCTCAATTCGTCAGGGCATGGACTCTAAAAGGTGTCGAAAGCATTCCACAGGGATTCTGGCCCATGTTGACTCCAATGCTTTCATCAGTTGTGACAAGTTAGCTGGATGTCTTTTGGGTGGTGGACCATTCTTGATACATACAGGAAACTGTTGAGCGTAAACCCCCCACCAGCGTTGCAGTTCTTGACACAAACTGGTGCGCCTGGCACCTACTACCATACCCCGTTCAAAGGCACTTAAATATTTTGTCTTGACCATTCAGCCTCTGAATGGCACACATACACAATCCATATCTCAATTGTTTCAAGGCTTAAAAATCCTTCTTTATCCTGTTTCCTCCCCTTCATCTACACTGATTGAAGTGGATTTAACAAGTGACATCAATAAGGGTTCGGAGCTTTCACCTGGATTCACCTGGTCAATCTATGTCAGGTGTTCTTAATGTTTTCTATACTCAATGTACATAAAATATATGACTTTTTATGTGAAATTGATCTGTGGGCCTACAACATGGGCAGACTGCATGGCCTCCATTTGCCCATCCCTGATCTACATACTTAGGGCTTAATTGCCAAAATCTTGCACTATCCCTTTAAACTAGCCAACTGCCAACAAATGCTATAAGCATTTTCATACCAAAACTCCATGAAAGTCAAACTCCCATGTTCATTATGTTTTAAATGTCATGCGGCAGGTAGCTTAGTGGTTAAGAGCGTTGTGCCTGTAACCGAAAGGTCGCTGGTTCTAATCTCCAAGCCGTCTAGGTAAAAAATCTGTCGATGTGCCCTTGAGCAAGGCACTTAACCCTAATTGCTCCTGTAAGTCGCTCTGGATAAGAGCATCTGCTAAATGACTAAAATGTAAATGTAAATGCCCAAGTCTGTCCAGTAGATGGCACAATTAATGTTGACAACCCTGACCTATTGTTCTTACCCTGGCTGTGTGCCCTGTGTTGTCTGTAGATATAAAGCCTTTAGGGACAACAATGGAAATTACACTCTGGTTTACTGGGAACTCCTGGCTGTTAGGTTAGGCTTCATCATCGCTTTCGAGGTACGCAAGGATCTGTCTTTCTATCTCTCTGTCCGTCTCTCTGTCCGTCTCTCTGTCCGTCTCTCTGTCCGTCTCTCTGTCCGTCGCTCTGTCCGTCGCTCTGTCCATCTCTCTGTCCAGCTCTCTGTCTGTCTCTCTGTCTGTATGTGCCTTTTGTATTCTTTCTGTTATACTGTGCCATGTCCACCTTTCTATTCGTTACTTGTCTTGTCCTGTTCTTACCCCCTTATCTACTACCTGTGTATGTTATTGTGTACCTGTGATCCTTTGAAGCTTGCTTGCTCCCTGCTAATCTTTGCCTCTCAGTCCTCACATGATATTTTAGTCTTTAATATTTTAGCACCTTTGTTGATACTGCTCTTCTCAGAATTCCTCTTCTTCCACTGAGGTTTCTCTGTAATTTCACCCTCGGTCCTCTTTTCCATCTCTCTGACTCTCTCTCTCTCTCTCTCTCTGACTCGCTCTGTCTCTCTCTGACTCTCTCTGTCTCTCTCTGACTCTCTCTGTATCTCTCTCTGTATCTCTCTCTCTCTCTCTCTCTCTCTCTCTCTCTCTCTCTCTCTCTCTCTCTCTCTCTCGCTCTCTCTCTCTCTCTCTATTCTCTACCTTCCTGTCACCCCTAATGTGTTCTATTTTCCCTCCCTCCCTATCTTCAGCATGTGGTGTTCTTTGTCCTGCGAGCGATAGACTGGATGGTGCCGGACGTCCCTGAGTCTCTGGAGCTGAAGGTGAAGAGGGAGCGCTACCTGGCCAAACAGGCCCTGGCCGACAATCAGGAGGCACTATTGGTGAGTCAGCGAGGTCTGGCCTCCAGCCAAGGTTAGTGGAACACGGCGATGCTCACACACCCTCAACACACACACACACTGTTTTGCTGCACGGAATCATTGTGCTGGTCAGGTCGTTATTGCAAAAGATAATGTGTTGTCATTTGTCATGACTTACCTGGTTAAATAAATGCACAAAACACAGACAGACACAGACAGGCACATGCACACACACCCACTGCAAGCCACCATCGGCCCACCTCCTCCACTATCATCCTGTATCATCGAAATCATCTGCTTGTGCAAAATCATCTGCTTGTGATGACTCTTTGACGTGTCCTGGTTCTCTTAAAAGGCTTCCTTGGTTTGTCTTCTTTCCATCATGACCGGTGATAAACATACACTTAATGGGTTTCCATCACCTTGCCATTTTAACCTGTCCAAGGCCTTTCAAATCAATGGTCATCAGGAGAGAAAGCCTCTTGAAGGGAAGGAGACAAGGAGAGAAAGCGTATTAAAACTATTGGGACACACAAGCTCTTATGTGTTCACCCACCTCACTCCATCATTTGATACAGTGCCAATAGTAAAACACCCATTACCTCATTAGGGAGTGTCTTATCCATGTTAAAAATAATACTAGTGGTTACTCATTAGCTAGGGCTCCTTTTCATATGAAATTATACAGACGTACAGTAAGTAATTAGGGATATGAATGGATAACTTATTAACAACGCTGCTTGCTCTACTTATACAGAAACTTTAGGTAAATTCAGTCAAGCAGTAACTTCAACATGTCTCCTTTTTCACCACCCATAATACTCCAGGAAATGTACACTGGATACAATGAGAGTGTCTGTGTCCCAAATGGCACCCTATATAGTGCACTACTTTTGACCCTATGGATGCCCTTGTCAAAAGTAGTGCACTACGTAGGGAATAGGGTGCCATTTGGGACACAGACACTCTCATTGTATCCAGTGTACATTTCCTGGAGTATTATGGGTGGTGAAAAAGGAGACATGTTGAAGTTACTGCTTGACTGAATTTATCTAAAGCTGCTGTATAAGTAGAGCAAGCAGCGTTGTTAATAAGTTACATATTACACTATCACTGAAACCAATTTGGTCTTAATAAATGAATTGCAGACTTTATAGCCTTTTAAATGCCCCCCCACCAAAACCCCTGAGGCTTGACTCAATAACATTACACTGCTCAAATTAGCAGCTAGCCTGGTTGCTCTGTCATTCATACTCAATAAAAAAAAAATCTGATTCTGTTGTCTGCCGAGTTGACAACCTAGTTGTGCACGAACACGTGCGTACACACGTACACACACACAAACACACACACAGACAGACAGACAGAAGCAATGGCTAACAACGCACAATGTTTAAAGACTGGACTCACTACAATGGCCATAATATGACCACAGAAATGCTCAAGTGCTCAAAGCCTAACCCATAAAACCTTAACCTAAGTTAATGCATCCATAAAGCTCTTCCCCTGGCATGTGTAGTCTCTCTCTCTCGCCGCATCCCATCAGCAGGAGACTGGTGCTTTCTCGCCCATTGTTTCTCTTTGTGGTCGTGTCAGTGGTGTGGTGGTGTGTGTGCTTCCCCGTGTTCTGACCATGCTGTTTTGGTCGTTGTGCTTCTTGTCGTGAAGGTCCTGGACGGGTTGAGTAGACAATCTCACTCCTGCAGTCTGTTGAGTTTCGATTAAGTATATACACTGAGTGTACGAAACATTATGAACACCTGCTTTTTCCATGACATAGACTGGCCAGGTGAATACAGGTGAAAGCTATGATCCCTTATTGATGTCACATGTTAAATCCACTTCAATCGGTGTAAATGAAGGGGAGGAGACAGGTCAAAGAAGGATTTTTCAGCCTTGAGACAATTGAGACATGGATTGTGTGTGTGCCATTCAGAGGGTGAATGGGCAAGACAAAAGATTTAAGTGCCTTTGAACAGGGTGTGGTAGTAGTTCCCAGGCGTACTGGTTTGTGTCAATAACTGCTACGCTGCTGGGTTTTTCATGCTCAACAGTTTGCCGTGCTTGTCAAGAATGGTCCACCACCCAAAGGACATCCAGCCAACTTGACACAATTGTGGGAAGCATTGGAGTCAACATGGACCAGCAACCCTGTGGAAAGCTTTCATCACCTTGTAGAGTCCATGCCCCGAAAAATTGAGGCTGTTCTGAGGACAGAAGGGGGCGGTGCAACTCAATATTAGGAAGGTATTCTTAATGTTTTGTACACTCAGTGGATGTCATATTCTGATATGAAGTTTAAGGGGGAAAACAAGAAAGGCCATTCTTATCAATCCATAAAAGATGTCTTGTAAAATGAGTTTTATGCTGTAACTCAGTAACATAACATGATGTAGCGAGCACCTTTGTGTCTACTGTCTGTATGTCTGCTCTTGTGCGCTTCAGTGTTCTCTACGATTCTTCTACCAAAGCTGTACTCATGTTGTCTCTCTTTCCCCATTTTCTCCCTCACCAAACTCAACTGTATTGTATGCATCGAAGCAAGCCACGCCTCCTTTGGTAACATGAGTTAGAACGGCAGTGCGGAACTTCTGCACCAAGAGAAGCAGAACAGATGGGGAGGAGAGGGGAGGAGGGGTAGAGGGAGATATAAGAGATTCCTTTGCATTTTGGGGTCCCATCAATGGATTTGTTTCCCTGTTGTCTCTCCGTCTGTCCGCTATGGTCAGTCTCTAGGTTTGTTTACAGAAGGGATGGCCAAACTTATCCGCAAAGGGCCGGTGGGGTTGCAGGTATTTGTTCCAGCCTAGCTGTAACACATCTGATTCAATGATCAACTTGTCATAGTCTTTCATTAAAACTTTGATTAGTTGAATAACATTTGTTACTGCTGGGCTGGGACAAAAGCTGTCACCTACACTGGCTTTTTGCTGGTAATATTGGCCAGAATGGCCCCCACCTGGTTTACAGTATGTGAAAGTGGGTTTGTAGTGTTCAAATTTTTTTGCTTGACTATTAGCATATGACTTGACGTCCTTCAGCTCTGATGATTTGTAGTGTTCTCACGGTGTTAAATGGACGAGCTTGATTTACTCAAACAGTAAGGTTGTCTACACTTTTCTTCAGACAGCCTGTTCTGTTGTGTGTGTGTATACACATACATGTACACTACCATTCAAAAGCTAGGGGTCACTTAGAAATGTCCTTGTTTTTGAAAGGAAAGCAATTATTTTGTCCATTAAAATAACATCAAATTGATCAGAAATACAGTGTAGACATTGTCAATGTTGTATATGGCTACTGTAGCTGGAAATGGCTGATTTATCAATTATCAATTGGTAGAGCATGGCGCTTGTAACGCCAGAGTAGTGGGTTCGATCCCCGGGACCACCCATACGTAAAAATGTATGCGCACATGACTGTAAGTCGCTTTGGATAAAAGCGTCTGCTAAATGGCATATTATTATTATTATTATTATTTTTATGGAATATCTACATAGGCGTACAGAGGCCCATTATCAGCAACCATCAGTCCTGTGTTCCAATGGCACGTTGTGTTTGTTAATCCAAGGTTATCATTTTAAAAGGCTAATTGATCATTAAAAAAAACATTTTGCAATTATGTTAGCACAGCTGAAAACTGTTGTGCTGATTAAAGAAGCAATAAAACTGGCCTTATTGAGACTAGTTGAGTATCTGGAGCATCAGCAATTGTGGGTTCGATTACAGGCTCAAAATGGCCAGAAACAATAGAAAGAGGAGTGGGAGGCCCCGGTGCACAACTGAGCAAGAGGACAAATACATTAGAGTGTCTAGTTTGAGAAACAGACTCAACTGGCAGTTTCATTAAATAGTACCCGCAAAACACCAGTCTCAACGTCAACAGTGAAGAGGCGATTCCGGGATGCTGACCTTCTAGGCAGAGTTGCAAAAAAATATCCATATCTCAGACTGCCCATCTTAATCTTTTAGTTTTATTGGCCAGTCTGAGATATGGCTTTTTCTTTGCAACTCTGCCTAGAAGGTCAGCATCCTGGAGTCAGTTGCTTAGTTGTGCACTGGGGCCTCCCACTCCTCTTTCTAGTCTGGTTAGAGCCAGTTTGCGCTGTTCTGTGAAGGGAGTAGTATACAGCGTTGTACGAGATCTTCAGTTTCTTGTCAATTTCTCGCATGGAATAGCCTTCATTTCTCAGAACAAGAATAGACTGACGAGTTTCAGAAGAAAGTTCTTTGTTTCTGGCCATTTTGAGCCTGTAATCGAACCCACAATTGCTGATGCTCCAGATACTCAACTAGTCTCAAGAAGGCCAGTTTTATTGTTTCTTTAATCAGCACAACAGTTTTCAGCTGTGCTAACACAATTGCAAAATGTTTTTTTAAATGATCAATTAGCCTTTTAAAATGATAAACTTGGATTAGCAAACACAACGTGCCATTGGAACACAGGACTGATGGTTGCTGATAATGGGCCTCTGTACGCCTATGTAGATATTTCATAAAAAATCAGCCGTTTCCAGCTACAATAGCCATTTACAACATTAACAATGTCTACACTGTATTTCTGATCAATTTGATGTTATTTTAATGGACAAAAAAAAAAAAAAATCGAAAACAAGGACATACAAACTATTGAACGGTATTGTAGGTATACATAAATATTTACATATGTGAAACTGGTCCTGCTTTTCTACAATATCACTACACTACATTTGTATGGAGTTAAAACCCAAAACATATCTTGTTAGTATAAGAGTTAATACTGTACTACTATACGATTTAAGTCCTTCTGCATGTGTAACCCATTTTGTGCGAGCTGTTTTGCATTTCAAATGTAATAATGTTTACATACTGTTTTAACCACTTTATATGTATATACTGTATTCTAGTAATGGCTCATCCTATATAACTACTGCTGTACACACATTTATAATCACATACTGTGCATACTGTCTATACACAGACACATATACAGTATTATTTATATTCCGGACTCAGGTCCTGCAATTCTATCCATTTTCCTATGTGGTTTTGTACTGTGTACTTACAGTATATACTTTATTCTCGACATGGCTCATTCTAATATTTCTACTACTGTACATTGCATTTTAGTTACACTGTTTCTACACACCACATATTTATTTATATACTGGATTCTTGACATAGGTCACTCTAATATATCTACTGCTGTAT